TAGCCATATGTATGTACTGTCTCATTTAACTTAGCCATATGTATGTATTGGGGTCATTTTTTTTTCTTTCTGCAGTGCATCCTTGAAAGTGTCTCTTAGTAAGGGCCCATTGGTGGTTAAGTCTTTGTTTTTTGATCTCTTGAAATTTACTTTGTTTCCCATGCCTCAGAGAATATTTTCACTGGGTTTTAAATTCTAGATTGACTGATACACTTTAAGAATGTCAGAGATACTATGTCAGTTTCTTTTGGCTTTGATTATTGCTGTTGAAAAGTTGGTGGTTGGTCTGACTGTTGTTCCTGTGGTAAGAAGTCCATCTTCTTTTGGAGATCTCTTTCTCTTTGATATTTGATGGTTTGACTCTCCTGTGACCATGGTATTCATTTTATTTGTTTTGCTTCAGATTCACTGGGCTTCTAAATCTGAGGATTAATATCTTGTATCAATTCTGGAAAATTCTCAGCCATTATCTTTCCTCTTCTCCTCTAGTCAGTTTCCCCTCTTCAGAACTTCGATTGGATGTGTGTTAAACCTTCGCGTCTGTCCTCCGTGTCCCTTAACTTCTGTCAAATTTCCCATCTTCCTGTGTCCTTGTGCTGCAGGTTGTGATCATTTCTTTCAGATCTGGGGTTTAGTTCACTAATTGTGGTTTTGGGCGTATCAGGTATGCTGTCTAGCCTGTTTGTTAAAAGTCTTCAATTTTAATGACTTTTCTTCATTTATATAAATTCTATTTGGTTCTCATTTGACTTTGTTTACTCATTTTTATTATCTCATGTTCCTGCCTCATGTTTTCATTCTCCTGTGTGTTTGTGTTCTGTGTCTGATATCTACAGTTCTGATTCTGCTGGCTTTTACTAACTTTGACTTGTTTTTTGTGTCTGTATGTGTATATACAAATACACACACACACACACACACACACACACATATTTGTGTTTGTTTTTCTGTGAAGTCGTATTTCTTGAAATTTAATCTGGGAGGATTGTTTGAGGCCTGCATTGAAAGTTCTTTCCTTCAGAGAGGGTTTACCTTTACTTCCTCTAGGTGCCTGGGAGCACTTCCATCTGGGACCACTTTAGAATAAATTCTCAGCTTAAGGTATTTCAGACCATAAAGTCAGTGTGAATTTTTTTTTTAAAGATTTATTTATTATTATTTTTTTTTTAAGATTTTATTTCGAGAGAGAGACCGAGTACACAAGCAGGGGGCAGGTAGAGGTAGAGGGAGAAGCAGACTCCAGGCTGAGCAGGGAGCCCGATGTGGGACTTGATCCCAGGACCCTGGGATCATGACCTGAGCCAAAGGCAGACGCTTAACCGACTAAGCCACCCAGGAACCCTGTTTATTTATTCTAGAGACAGAGAGAGAGTGTGTGAGCAGGGGGAGAGGGAGAGAGAGGATCTCAAGCAGACTCCACGCTGGAACCTGACCTGGGGCTCGATCTCACCACCCAGAGATCATGACCTGAGCCGAAACCAAGAGTTGGCTGACCAACCTTCTGAGCCACCCAGCACCCCAAAGTCAGTGTGAATTTGAGAAGCGAAGCCATGTGAAGCATGTTATGGTTACAGACTCTTAGAGAGTTTTTTCTCCCCTCTATCCAGGATCAGAGTCAAGGTGGGCAGGCTTCCCTGTGGTTCTCCCTTTCTTGCAGGTGAGTTCTTTCAGTTCACCTCCCACTGAGGTGGTAGCTCTTTGAGCTCCAGCTTTATGTGACTCTCTCCTCTTAGTCTTCTGGCCCCACCTTGGCTGTGAAAATGGAGGCCAGAGCTCACTGGGGTTCCACAGCCTGTGCTGTGAAGGTTGGCCTCAGAGTCTGCTTACCTCACACAATTTCTGCTTTCTCTTTGTTTTCAGCTTCTGAGCACTTTGTGCCAACTCAGCTATATGTTTTAAAAGGTTTTTTTAGTGTTTTTGACTGGTGGTGTTAGTGCTCTTCAGTTAGAGAGGTGTTTAGGGTAACTAGACCGAAGTCTCCGTGAACCCTTCAGAGCATTGCAGTCCACCTTCTTTTTCTACCATGCCCCTGAAACCACTCTCGGTAAGGCACCAACAGCCTCCATGTTTCCAGAGCCACAGGAAGTGTCTCTTGACCTCATCAACAGCGGCAATCACTGTGAGTTCCTGCCTCTCCCAAATCAGTTCTTCCTGTAGTCTCTTGCTTCTCTGCCTATTCCATAAGTCATCACATTGCGTTCCTTGATTCCTTCACCTTCATTCAGCTTTGACCCAGACCCCTTCTCTTTGTTCATTATTCTTTCCCTAAGAACTGTCTTCCATTCTCATGGATGTAAATACCATCTTTGTGCTCATGGCCCTTCAGTGTGTATCTCTGTGGCCCAAGCATCTTCTCTGAGCACACCGGACTTGAAGAGCCAACTGTTTTTCTTTTGGTTGCTACACAGACGTCTCAAACGTAGGGTGCCTGAAATGGAGCTTCCTTCTGTCTCCCCAGCCTTCCTTCTTCTTCCCGTCAGTAAACGGCCTCCCCATCTACCTAGGTGCTCAAGCCAGACTCACAGGAGTCCGCCACGATTCATCCCTTCTGACCTACCTCCAGCCATAAACATGTCCTTGGAGTTCATCTCAGAGGTTGTTCAGTTCTCTCTGTCTCTGCTGCTGCCATCCTGCCCGCAACATCATCACGTCTTGCCTGGTTACTGCACTTGGCTTCCAACTGCGTGCAGTCTCTCCCTTCCATGCGCCTTCATCCATTCCATTCCATCCACCACACAACTGTGAGACTGGTCAGCTTACAACATAAAAGGTGTCACTTTCTGGTTTAAACACTTTTGCTTTCCTTCCAATCCCAGTCTCCATGTTTCCGCGTGATCCAGGTTTGCCTCTCTCGACAGCTTCACCCGTGCTGCTTTCCCTGGCTCACTGTGTCCCAGCTGGGAGAGTCCCTCCCAGTTCTTCACGGCCTTGCCCAAACGGGACCTTTGCCATTGCGGCCTCTCTGCCTGGACTCCTTGAATGGCTAAATCGCTCTCATCCTGTAGGATCCAGCTCGAAGACCACTTCTCTAGAGAGGGTTTCCGTGACCACAGCTCTGAGCAGAGTAGGCTCCTTCCATTTCTCATTTGGTTTTTCCTTCTGTGGGATCGAGCCCAGACTGAGTTGTTAGGTATGTGTTAGTTTACTTGTTTTTGTGGGCACTGCTACAGGATGAGCTCCATGAAAGCAGGGACCACATCTCTTGACAGTCACTGCTCCCCCACAATGGTATCCAGCCCTCGCAGCAGTGAAGGTTTTGAAAAGGAAAGCAAGGAGGGAAAGCAGGGAAAAGAAAGTGTGTGCTCCAGGGCACCAGTTAGTGGGACAGCTGGGACTGAAACTTAACCTCTTTATTCAGGATCTGCTACTCCTTAGGTTAGGAATTCTTAATTTCTAAAATGTAATTTTCTTAGAGAATTTAACTCAAGTTATCCTGCACCTTGGAGAGCTTGAACACCTGCTCTCAGCGACGGAGAAGTGCACAAATGCGCCATGCTGGAGCAGTGCCATCCAAGCACAGACACGCAAACTCCAGTTGTATACAGTAATGGCCCAGACTCCCATTGAGGAACATGTAGAAAAGCCCTTTGGGATATTTTTCAAATCTTCATATTTTTTTTATCTAACTTTTGACTGAGGTTAAAAGAAATACAAAGGTTAATGGGGAAGTTCTCATCTTGCCATCTCAAGTTTCTGTTTTCTTTTCTCACAGGAGCCTCATGGATGGGTTGTGGATTTGGTAAATAAGGTATACAACTTTCATTAATATGGTCCTATTTTCCTTCTTCTAATGAGCTTGCCTAGAGTTTGGTATTTTAAGTAAATGACAGCTAGAGAGAGTAATAATTTTTTTCCTAAGGAGGTAGATTCTGGAGTTCTTCCTCTTTTTCATACATGCTGTTTATACAGATGAATGTCAGCTTTAGGACTCAGCACATCTCCTGCAGTGTATCACAGAACAGTAGAGTGATCTTTGGGGATGACTCTCTCAAGATCAGTATTATCTAGAGCATGTTGATAGGGTAGAATGGTGGTCTTCGTTTTTTGCTTAAACTATTGATGTACAGCACTTTAAAACTAATTTGTGCCTTTTTTTCCCCTCAGTTTGGAGAATTAGGTGGATTTGCAGCAATCCAAGCCAAGCTTCATTCGGAAGATATAGAACTTGGGGTAAGCTAAACCACTAAATGTGCCCAAAGTGGGAGTTCACTTTATTCAGGCTGGTATGTAACCGAAGGGACGTAGTCTGGACACAGTGAGGGAAACGTTACTGTGTGAGATATCTCTGCGGGAGCAGCTTCAGTGGTTCTTATAACCAAAGAAATATTCGCCTCTAATTGTAACCCATTTTCAGTGGAGGGTGTTTGTTCCTTTTTACTTCATTTCCCTTTGCCTCTGGTATTAGTCTCTTCATTTGGGAGGGTTATGTGAAATTATCTTGCTTTTTAAGGATAGGTGGTGTCTGTGGCAAGTGCATGTGTACCTAACAGTGTCATGATTCACACCACAGTGTAGTTCCTAGTGCCAGGCACAAATAAAATATTTCATTTTAAGGTTGTTAGTAAGCTTTTTGGTGTTACAGTGATGCAAAGATAACAAAGAGCTGTAACAGGAGCTTAGACTCTTCCCTCAGGTGCAATACCATTCTCTTTTTATGTGACTTCATTTTTCTCAAAAAAAGTTTAACCTGGTGGTAAGGGGGAATAACTCAGTCTTTAATTTTTCACAGAGTGCTGACCTGTTTGTAGCTCAGAGCACTGTTCTGTTTTCTAGTTAATTATTCAACTACTCGTACGTACTTGCCATGTATAAGGCCCAGTGCTAGCTACTGTTATGTGATCAGAACAGAAGGTAATCCGTTGCCCGAGTGATGCAGTGTTGTGCATGAACAGCAGTTATCCCTGAGGAACCGTGGCTAATCAGCTGACCCCCTTGGTCCACCTTTGGGTGAGGGCAGGAATAACACCGAGGAGAGAGACTGACCCTTTCTTGCCACTGTTCATCCTGAAAGATCAGGTGTCTGCCAGTTCATAAATACTTCTGCTGACACTGACCAGGGAGTGTCTTCTACCTTCCCTGACGTGAACTAGGTTGTTAGGCTGTCATTTGGATCCCCGTTGAATGGATCGAGCATGTTAGAAGTGACTTGACTGGAAAAATAATGAGTAGTGATTTAAGAAACAAAGCTTTTAAAACAAAAAATTTATTCGGGTATAGGGTTTTATCCAGTTTACTTGTTTCTCAAGAACTGGCTATATAGGTCATTGGCCATGTCAAAAATTAGCTACACTTTTTTTTTAAATGTTAAAACACTCACTAATTCTGGCAGTTAATTTATTAAAAAAAAAAAATACAGAGCATCCCAAGTTTCTAGCCTACTTGGAAGAAAATTGGCTAAGGGTGGATATATAGGAATCTGGGCTTACCCTCGTTATTATCAGATATCTTGAGGTTAAAGATTCCTCCAGGATTTTCCCCATTTTTCAGAGCAACCATGTTGTTGCTGCAGTTGATACAGAATTATGTTGTTTAGGTTGTATTTGAGGAGATGATAAAATTCAGGCATAGGAGAAAGATTCCCAAAGATTGAGACTCTAATTATAGCAAACAAGCATGATTAAAATTTCAAAATAAATGCCTGCTTTCTGACCAGTTAAGGAGGTGATTATGTCCTAGAATAAATTCAGGCCACTGAGTACAAGTAAATGCATTCATTTTACATTTACATTTATATCTACGTGGTTTTGAATTTGAAAAATACCAGGAAAAAACGTCATTCACAATTCATCAGTGAAAAATACCTGTACAAAGTATGGAATGAAAGTTGCCTGTCCCCCACCCCCACACACGTATACCTACCTCCTAGGTACCCATTTAATGCAGTGCCTTTCTGACTTTTTCCTAAATTTATGTAAAACATACCTGTGCATGATCTTTCCCTCTTTCTCTTTCTCTCTTTAAAACTGAATTGTAATCAAGCTATACCTAGTAGCGTATTTTCATCTAACAGTCTGTCATGGACATCTTTCCAGGTCAGCACTATCATTGTTTTTAATGGCTCTCACCTGTTCCTGCACCTGTTGTACACTGATGCTGTCATTTTTTAATGGGCGTTGGATTATTTAAGTTTTTGCTCTTCAGAGAGTTTCTCATATAAATTTGTCTTTGTGCATATGCTACCATTTCTGAAGGACAGATTCCAAAAAACGGGATTTCTGGGTTAAAGACTGTATAGATTCTTAAATTATAATCAGTAGTATTAAATCTCTTTCCAAAAGCTTATACCAGTCTGTACTCCCATAAACTCCTTTCCTATTTCTCTTGTTAGTACTGAATATTTTCCATCTTTAATTTTTCATTATAATGGACAAAAATAGCATTTTATTATTTAATTTCTAAGACTGATTTCCTGGGAATTTGAGCATTTCATCGTGTGATTATTGGCTGTTTGCATTTCTTCTGTAAATTGATCTGGTTATTTAGGTTACTTTGGGGTTCTCTTGCTAACTTTCAGGAATTCTTTTTATGTTCAGCATATCAGTGCCATGTCTACTTTATGTATTTGTAAATTTTTTCTTCCAGTCTTTGCTTCTCTTTTTATTTTTGTTGATGGTGTCTTGCTATACACAAGTTTCCACATTTTATGTAGATTTTTTTCCTTAATGGCTTAAGAGTTTCCTAACTTGCTTAGGGAACGTTCTCCCATCTCAAAGTTATAAAAATACTCCTTTCATTTTATACTTTTACAGTTTTATTTTTTATACCTAGTTCTTGAATTCATTTAGAATTTCTTTTTATATATTATGTAAGATAGAGATCCAATTTCATTTTCTTCCAAATGGATAACTAATTGTTGTAAGATCCTCTAATGACTAGTCCCTGTCTTCTCTACTATTTTGATGTGTTGTCTCTATCACATGTCAAAGCCCCACATGTCCATGGGTGTGTTCCTGGACTTCTGTTTGAGTCATTCATTCGTCTGTTCATTCTTTGCCCATTTGTTCACTATTGCTCCCCTGTTTTCACCACTGGTAGCTCCAGTCTGCCCAACATCATTCTTCTCTCAGATTCTCTTGATCATTCTCATAGTTTGACTCTTTGAATATAGTCAACATGTCAGGTTGTCCTGCAGAAAATCCCACTGAGATCATGTTTGGAATTGTGTTAAATTTATAAGTCAGTGTGTGGAAAATTGCAGTACTGGTCCTTTCCATCCAAGAACATGGTATCTCCCTGTTTATTTGGGCCTTCTTTTATGTATTTTGGTAAAGGTTTATAATTTTCCTCATGGAAGTTTTTGATGTTTTTTGTTGAAGGTACATTTCTTCACCAACTGTTCTCTCCTTTTTCAAATAAAAATTTAGTATTCTGTGATATGAACTTTAAAAATCTTTCATCCAGTCCTCCAAAGTTTTATTGGCATATTATGATTTAAATTACATTAAATTTCTATAACAGTTTAAATGGATTGACATCTTCATATCAGTTCTTCCTATCCAGGAGAATGGTTTGTCTATGATCAAGACATTTCAGATTGTCTCTGATATATTAAAAGCGATTTGTTATGCCAAAAGGAGAAGACCCTCTCGCACTGATGTCTAACCTGCACTGTCCTTGTTTTCAGGCAGTCTCAGCATTGGTGCAGCCCTTAGGGGTGTGTGCAGAGTACCTCAATTCCTCGGTGGTTCAGGTAAGGTGAGGCCACTTGACACTTACTCAGAAGGTGACCTGAGACACACCAACAGTCATCATTATCTTTTTATCAGGTTGTTCAGAATTGTGCCTTATCCAGAGTAACTTCTTTTTTTCAGATTAGCTATTTTTCTAGTAAAAATATTATCAGAAGCTAACTAAAAAATGATTAATAATTTAAGGTATTCTAATATTTAAGAAGATTCTTTGCCTTTTCAATTTATTTTATCAAATATAATTTATATACGATTACATGTATTTTTATTTCCTTACTTGTAAAATAGGCAGCATATATCCCAGCCCCCTTCACAGGATTGTTTAAGGATTCGGTACCATTATGTATTAGATTAGAGCATGTTGAGCAACCCACTTGGCTTACTTACTAGCCAAGTGACTACTGAATAGCGGCCTAACGGCACATCTTGTCTAATTTCCTGCCACTGCAGATCGTAAGTCAACAGGTCATCACATAGTCGAAGCTGGGTGTATCCATTTTCTAATGCTTAAGACCTGTTGTACTTTCTTATTTCCTTTCCATTTCAGTTAACAAGTTTTACTGAATGAAGTGTCACTTTGAAATACCTTCATTTTTTTATTTTCTTTGTGAATAGGTCTGTGAAACCTGTAACTTTCACAGAGATTTTTTTTAAGTTACTCTAAATGGCTTTGAAAGCATCGTGTCCTTTGGGAGCAAAGTGTTTGTATGCACTGTTCCTTCTTGTTAATATCTCATTTACTTAGGGCCATTTTAACAAGGGAGATAGGATTTGTTTTAGTACGTTCTGGAAATTTCCACCATTTTTAAGCATTACATGCTTTCTTTAAATGTCAAAGAAATCCTGCAAGATTTTTAAATGAAATCAGATGGCTATTTATGTATTTCTTCATTCTGGATATTAAGTTCTTTAGAAACATTAAGTGTTCTTTCAGCTTATTAAACATATCATTAGTTTTGTAGTTGAAACACTAAGACACTAAGATATAAGAGGCAAAATCATTTGACTTTTTAATAATTTAATATAATTATTAACAATTTAATACTTGGCTTTTTAATAATCAGAGCCAGGATTGGATTTTTAAACACTCTTTACCCATGCAATGCTCTGTTGGAAAGAGATTTAGCATAAATATCCCAGCTACTAATTAATATTAAATTCTTTAGAAATTCTAGGTTTGATAGAATTTTTAGAATTTTATAGAGTTTTATAAAAAGAATAAAGTATTGAATTTCCAACCATAGCATATTTAACTTTAATCTATCCAAACTTCTTACATTTATTCAAGAATATATTCATGCCATGAATTTATTCTCATACCATATTCACATCCTATTACTTGACATAAACTAACAATTGTCTCTACTACTTGCTACTTCTGTGACTTTGGAAGACATATGTAACGTCTGTGCCTTGGCTTCCTTGTCTGTAAAATGCTGATCATGCTGTCTCAGCCACAGTGGGAAGTAAGCAGGGCTGGTGCTGCTGATGAGAACAGTGTGCTTGCCTCTTAACCCTAACAGCCCCCAGTCCTCACTGTACAATGGGCATGAGTAGAAAGGAAGAGATTCTATTTGGATAATTGTCTGATGTCATTTTAATTCATTGCTAATGTCTTGTTGGCCTTGACAGCCAAATATTGTCTATCTTCTCTTGTCACCAGATAAGTTTTAAAAATTATTTTACTTAGATGGAAGTGAGCATTTAGACCTAGCTAATATTTTCCTACTTCTCACGTAATATTTAGAGGCAGTTATTTGATACTGCTACAATTCTGGAGCATTGTGTTAAATGAGTCTCCTCTAGAGATCAGCACACAAAAATAGTGCATATTGCAGCACATTTTTTTGTGCTCCATGCTTATATTAATTCGTTAAAATCAAATGCAAAATATTTACTTTATTACAAAAATAAACCTACTCATGCTTCATGTTTTAGTTTATGTGTCTTTGGTTGCTCTTTAAAAAGACCCTTATGAGGGATGCCTGGGTGGCTCAGTCGGTTAAGTGTCGCCTTTGGCTCAGGTCATGATCCCAGGGTCCTGGGATCAAGTCCCACATCAGGCTCCTTGCTCAGCGGGAAGCCTGCTTCTCCCTCTGCCTGCCACTCCCCCTGCTTGTGCTCTCTCTCTCTCTGACAAATAAATAAAATCCTTAAAAAAAAAAAAAAAAAAGACCCTTATAAGAATCACTGAATTCTGGGGTGCCTGGGTGGGTCAGTGGGTTAAGAGTCTGCCTTTGGCTCAGGTCATGATCCTGGGGTCCTGGGATCGAGCCCTGTGTCAGGCTCCCTGCTCAGTGGGGAGCCTGCATTTCCTGCTCGCTCTGCCACTCCCCTGCTTGCGCTCGCTTTCTCTCTCTCCCTCAAGTATATAAATAAATAAAATCTAAAAAAAAAAAGAATCCCTGAATTCTACTCCTGAAACCAATATTGCACTGTATGTTAACTAACTAGAATTTAAATAAAAATTTGAAGGAAAAAAAGGAAACATCAAACTTGTATTGGCAAAAACAAAAAAAAAATGAATAAAACATATTTTAAAAAATAAAAGGACCCTTCTAACATAGCAGTGACAGGGACTGCACCCACGTGGTATTGAAGGAGCTGGGGCACGGAGTCCCTCGAGCGCCTACTTAGGATGGTAGTAGCTAGCTATGGCAGCTGATACTGGAATTGAGATCTTTGCATTGCACTTTCTCCTTTGTGAAATGTGAATGAAGAATTATCGCCTCTCTAGTTCTGAAGCAGCATCAGGAGTCTTTATTAAGTGTAGCACTTTTGTTCTGCAGCCGATGCTAGACCCGGTCATCCTTAATACAATCCAGGATGTGCGGAGTGTGGAGGAGAAGGACCTCAAAGACAAGGTAAATCCTGTCTTCAGCCAGGTAGGCCCCAGTGCCTGTTCGTCCATGGAAGCACAGCCAGGACCTGGGGCAAGGTTCACACACCATTGTTCTTTGGATTCTGGCCACACACTACTCACATCAAATTAATTATACATTTTCTAACAGGTGCTTTTTCTGAAGCACCAAGTTGGCATTAAATCTTACCAATAGAGTGAATTTAGGGTTCTCAGTAAGTGATACTGTTCAGAATTTTACTAACATGTTGATTTAGATAGTATTATAATTGGTATAGCATTGAAGAAGCTTTAAAACAATTTGATACTACAAGCTTATCCAAAGTTGTTTAAAGCAGTTTTAACATTTAACATGATTTATTTTGTTGACCTTGAAATTCTCACAGGACCCTTTCTTTTGCTCACCTGTGTGCTAACTTTTGTTTAAAAGCAAACTAGTTGATTGCCCATATGGAGTATCAGATATCACCAAACCATTGCTGTTGAAATGTCCTGTATTCCTGTGTGTGTTATAAGAATTACAATCAAAATGTTTTCATGGGTCCTTTTTTGTTTGTGTGTGCTTTTAATAAAAGAGATTGGTTAGCATCCCTGAGCTCTTGTCTGCCATCAAGTTACTCTGCATGCGTTTCCAACCGGATCTGGTGACCGTGGTGGACGACCTTCGATTAGACATCCTACTGCGCATGCTGAAATCACCACATTTTAGCGCTAAAATGAATTCCCTCAAAGAAGTAAGTTTTATATTTGCTTCTAGAAGACTTAAAGCGCAGACTCTTCAAGCTCTGCCAAAACTTACGGTCATTAATATAAAAATGTTGGGAAGTGAAGAAGAATGGTTTCTTGTAATCATACAAAAAAGAGGACAATGATTATATGTAAAATCGTATATAGGGTTATATAGTTGTTAATGTGATCTTTTTATATGTGTTCCATTCAAAATTCATTCTCTGAAATATTTGAAATAGTTTGTGTTTTTGTGAAATTTTCTAGAACATAATGCCTTGGAATAGACCGTTTGAGATTTACTTTTTACTCTAGGGGAATACTTCCTTTTGTTACATTTCAGATAGGTGTTTTCTTAAACCAAATGTTCTAACTGGGGTTGGGACAAAAACAAAAAGATGACAACTATGACGATCTAAGCAAAATGCTGGAAATATTTTCCTATAGCTTCCTAAACTTCTTCCAAACGTAGTTGGTTTTGGTGAGTATAGATGGGGCCGGTATAGTTCAGGCATAACTCCAGAACTTAGTCATTTTTCCTGAAGCTCTGTTATAATTAGGATTCTTTACTGCAAGTGGAATACACTTGTTGTGAACCCATCTGGGGCCAAAAAAGGAATTAAATGGAGGAAGGCTGGGCTGTTTGACATGAATGAAGGATTGACTAGCCAGACCATGTAAGGGCAGGTACATGTGTGGGCAGCATGAACAACGAGAATTTGAGACCTGACCACTGCCAGGACTCTGTCCCAAGTCTTGTCCCTGCTTTTCTGAACGTGTTGGCTTTGCTTTCTCTCTTCCTACAGAGTGACTTTTTTTTGTGGGGTAGACATCATGGCCGTAGAGGGTCCCATTACCAGGGAGGGACTGACACTTTCTCTCTGGTCCCAAGTATAGAATTTGAAGGATGTGCACTGGTAGAAGTTTGGTCAGATGCTCTTCCCCAAGCCATCCAGGGAGTGCCATTCTTGGCTCCATGTTCTTTTTAAAGAGACATCAAGAATAAGTAGTCTGTTAACTTACTACAGTAACTGGCCTTCAGTACATTTTGGCTAATTATCAGACCACATTAGAACACTGTGTAAGTCACAGGATATGTATACATATATATGTAGGTTTTGATTATGCAGAGTTGTGCTAGAGTCATTCACAATAATCCTGTCTTTTTAGGTAACCAAACTAATAGAAGATAGCACTTTATCCAAATCAGTGAAGAATGCTATAGATACAGACAGATTGTTAGATTGGCTGGTTGAAAACTCAGTTCTGTCAATTGCATTGGAAGGTAAGTTGCTTTAAAAAAAATATTTCCTAACATAATTATAAATAATGTATTTTTGTACTAAAGGTAAGAAAACGTTGCTTTGACTGTATTAGCCTTTAAATGTTGTAGCAAGTTCCTGTTGGTTTGAATTAATAGAATCGTATTTAGAAAGTCAGCGTTCACTGTATCTATCTACCTCTTGGGTGTCTTTTCTCTTAGGCAACATAGACCAAGCCCAATACTGTGATCGTATAAAGGGGATTATTGAACTCTTGGGCAGTAAATTGTCTTTAGATGAGCTCACTAAAATTTGGAAGATACAGGTAAGTTGATCAGAATTAATTTTGCCTTTTTCCGGTATTTCTGGCGGAAGGAGAGGGAGAAGGGTGGTGAACGAGCAGGGAGATGGAGCTTCTATCTTGCTTTAGCCACAGCAGCTCTACTCAGATCTGCTTTCCCTCTTGGGGCTTCTGTCAGGATTGTGTATGTGAGAAAGGCTTGCGCTGCTCAGAAGATGTGAAATGACTGAGCGCATCTAGTCTTCTCGTTTCCAGGTTAACACGATGAAAAGCCATCCTGCAGGCTCCCCAGCAGCGCTAGGACAGTGTGTCTCTTGTTTGCCAGTCTCATGTTCTTTTCACCGTTTGCTTATCAGTTTTCATGGATGAGTTTTTCCTGTTGGGTTGTTACGTGAGGATGAGAGTCCTACTTACTGAGTTCCCAGACCGCATCTCCCCAGGACTCCCTGCAGCCGCCACAGAATCGGCTGCGCCCCTGCCTTTTCTTTTCCTTCACTTTGTTACTAGGCCGTTGGACTCATTTTCCCCCCACTTTCCTGGCACCCTCTGTAAGTCTCCTTTACTAACTTGTTTATTCTCTTCTTCTTTGTAGATACTAGTTTCTTTCACGCCTTAGCCCTTTCCGCAGTCTGTAACCTCCCGGGGGGCAGTTGCCTCCCCTCCTGGGGCTTGGAGTGCGTTTGGATGCCGCTGACACTCAGAACTGCGTTCCCCATTCAGACCTCTTGGCACTCCAGTGCCGTGTACCTAGACGCATAACTATTGCGCCTTCGGGCACGCCATCTCGTAGGCATCTCAAATTCAGTGTGTCAGCACCTAGTCATTTTCCAGGCTATTTCAGTAATGGTATTAGCCTTCGTCTAGCTGCTAAGCCACAAGGAGGCCTGGAGCTCACCTTGACTCTACCCTCTTAGTCACTGTATCACTCAGAACCTAGTCAGGAAACAGAGGCTGTACTAGGTATTTCAGAGGGAATTGCGCACAGGGGCTTGTTTACAAAGGCCTTGCTGGGTTGGAAGAGCAAAAGAGAGAAGTTCTGGAGGAACAGAATGGGGAAAGGGGCATCTGAAGTCCAAGGAAAGGGAGCGGCTTTGGGAGGTGCTTTCATGGCACATGCTGGGGTGCCAAAGAGGTGGCCTGGCCACCAGGGCTTCTCCCTGGCTGCCACCGATGCCAACACCTGCATCCACTCCCTGAGCACGAACCAACACTTCTTTCTTCCTCTTCCCTTCTCATCTCCCAGCAGTGCCTCCCATGGGCAAAAGATCACGGGAGCATAGCTAGGAGAGGAAATGCAATTCGCAGGCTCCCAGCCTAGCAGCAGAAAGCAGACTATAGAATGTTAGGTGCAGGACTGAAAGAAAACAGTCCTGGGGCCTATAAATCTTGCTTCCCATAAATCTTGCTTCCCGTGTCAACTGTAGTTGAATACTCTCATATAATGTTGTTTTGTGAGTGAGTTTTAAATCCACGTAAGGTTGAAGATCAGAGGCCATGAAATAGATATTGTATATCCCTGTTACATTTGGTGAATATATGTATATAGTAGATACTGAGCAGATTCTTGTAGAATTGAATCTAGAGAAATCTCTGCTTTTCAGTTCCTTCACATGGTGTGCAGTGAGGGATAATGGAGTCATGTTTGAGGTTATAGAGTGAGTTTTGACCATAAAGTCGACCACAGGGCCTACATCACTGAAACAGAGATTCACTGGCCATGGGATAAATTAATATTAATTGAAATTATAAAGTCTCTAGGAGCGAAATAAAAAATAAAGTAGATGGTACTCTCAGCTGTGGCCCTCAAGCTCATTTATAAAGTGCTGGAAGCGAATATGTTTGTTCTGTACTTAGTTCAAAGCTTTATTAGACAGTTGAAAATATTTCGCTTTCCTCTTGAAATGCATATATCAGATTGAGAACTTTACTCTCATCTTTTTAAAGATTTAATGCTGCTAGAAATTTATACAAGGCCAACTGATGGCCATTAACTGGTTGCTTCCTGTAGTTTCGCCAGTGTTATCATGCAAGTGAATGCTGATCAGGCTAGAATCAGTTTATCTTGTTGCTGTTGTACTTTGGCTTCTGTCAGTTGCTGGGAGAAGCGTGAGGGTCTTTCCAAGTTGCAGGATGTAACTTCCCCCACTGTCTCCTTTTCCAGTCCGGACAATCATCTACTGTGATCGAGAACATCCATACTATTATTGCTGCAGCAGCTGTCAAATTTAATTCAGATCAGCTTAATCATCTGTTTGTTCTCATCCAGAAGGTACGTGTCCAGAGAACTGCAGTTGCTTTTAGGTTTTTCTAAAAGCTCATTTTGAGGTCTCCCCCCTTTAAGTTAAGTAACTCTTCTTACTTTGTTAAACCATTTTAGTTCAAGTGTAAAGTTTCTGCTTGTTTTGCCCATTTGATAATATTGGATTGTCGTGTCTTTTCTGTTCCCCAGAGCTGGGAGACTGAAAGCGATCGGGTAAGACAGAAGCTGTTGAGTCTGATTGGACGAATAGGCCGGGAAGCTCGCTTTGAGACTACTTCTGGAAAGGCAGGAGAATCAAATTAATCTTTCCAGCTACAAATACTTAATGTGGTCTGACTGGTGTATGGTCTGGCTCATCTTGTGTGGCATTATTGCAGGTGTTAGATGTTCTCTGGGAACTGGCGCATCTTCCAACCCTGCCCAGTAGCCTTATTCAGCAAGCCTTGGAGGAGCACCTGACAATCCTTAGTGACGCGTATGCTGTGAAAGAAGCAATCAAGAGGAGCTACATCATTAAGTGCATCGAAGATATTAAAAGGGTCGGTTTTATCTTTGGTCTAGTTTTGTTGTCAGAGCCATAGTATAATTAGAGCCTAATAATTTTCTTATCCTATTATGTAAATTAAATTAAATGTCCTACCTGGAAACTCTTGTCTTAGAGTCCAAGATTGGGAAATTATAGGTACTGCTTTTACCAAGTCACTTATATTTCTCTTAAAATTAATTTCAGCCTGGAGAATGGTCAGGTTTGGAAAAAAACAAGAAGGATGGATTCAAGGTAAGAATTTGCAGATGGAACCGCCTAAAAGGTATACTAATTTAATAATTTCTTTTAATGAGTGATACCATAATTTTAAGATAATCTCTTTTTGTGTCTCTTTGAGTAATGTTCAGATAGAAACCGCTGTTTAAATATTCACGAATCCAAGGTCACATTCACAGAGTAGTTTCATTATATTTCCATAAAATTGTAAGACCTTTAACTTAGTTTTTTCTTTTGTAAAATAAATGCAAAGTCTGTACAGCTTTAATAAGTACAGTGGATTGTGCATAAGTGTCATGCCCGTTTCTCTGCCATGAGGGAGAAATGGAGGAACCCTCATAGAGGAAGAAGAAAGAGAGAAGGGAAGAAAGAGGGTCATGCAGTGCTGGCATGCAGTAGTTTTTCAGGTGCCTGGTTCACAGGTGTACGTAAAGAAATTCCTTAGTGAGTCCTGCTGCTGGGGTCTGATGCCAGGAGGTGGTCTTGGGTAGCGACTGCTGTGGGAGCCCTCCCCTGCTCAGGGCTCTGGCCTCTAGGCTGCGGGGGACTTAGGGGCCACCCTTTCAAAGGGTGGTTAGCAGAGTAAGCAGTGAGGACTGTAGCTCTCCTGTCGCTCCAGTGCTTCAGCATCCGGCCCGTGCTCGAGGGGGCTGATCACAGAGCCACTCCCCGGAGGCACATCCCCTGTTGCCGCAGCCCTGACCAGAGCACTACGCTCCTCCAGCCGAGGCCCTCAGGTGGCCCAGGCCAAACGGAGAGCCTCGTAGCGGGAGGGATCTCATCTTACTGTAACATAAGAAAAGGTTTTGGTGAACAGCCAGGGGCTTAGTAATTTCATTGGCTAAACATTTTTCTTGGCTTTCATTAAGAAGTATTTCTTTAAAGGATCTTGAATACTGCTAATTTTCATTGGTGTATTCAGGGACTCTTAGCTCTCGTTATGAGACTGTGGTGACTCAGTGGGCTTTTATTAAGTTCTATGTGGTCATCAGGTTTAGTTGGGGACACATAAGAACTTTGTGTTTTATATTTCTGACACTGAAATTTGGTCAGGTGAATTTTCTACATAAAATCTAGCTTTAGAGATTTTCAAAAAGTCACAGACTGGAGCTGATGATGCTCAGGTTATGAGAAATCTTTCCTTTAATTCAGCAGCATTGCTCTCATCCTCAGATCCAGTTTGCATTTTTCTAGTTTTCTCAGTCCAGCAGTTTGGGTAATTTATTGCAGCCTCTGCCTTTCACTTGGACCTCATCCAGAGTTTTGTAAGGAGTTTAGATCCTTCAGTAGTGATAGCAAGAGGAAAAGGGTATCTATAGAAGAATGGTCTTTTCTTCTCAGTAATAGATACGTTTCTTTATAAATAGGAGGGGTCCACACCAAAGAGACTGTTCCCTCCCTCCAGGGAAATGGCCTTTGAAAGCAGAAACCCCTTCCCACTGTCTGTTCCTTCCTTGCTGCAGCTCAGGCTCAGCGTTACTTAGCTCTCCTGGTCAGGTCAGCGGCATCCCTGCATCTTTACTGCCTCTCTGCAGTCACTTCATTCATGCCTGTTGTTTTATGACAGAACTCAAAGAGCAGCAGGGCAATTTTTGGAGTCATTTCTTGAGACTTGAAAGGAGTACTCTTCCTTTTTTTTTTTTTTTTTTTTAATCTCCCACTGCTCCCAGTACAGAAATTCTGCTGGACCATTATTTCGTTCCAAACAACAATACCTTGCATTTACATAGCACTTCCTAGTGAACTAAGTGCTCTCGCAGATACTCTCTGAAAGTACACACGGCTGAGGGGGGCAGTGGGAAGATCAGAGCCCCCTGGATATGGCTCCAGGCAGGGGGGTGAGTTATATACTGCCACTAAAGGTGTTTTTCTATGCTATGCCCTTTCCTGCCAGGCAGCAAGGTGGGCTGACTGGGGATTATGTCTCCCTGCCAGGCTACACAGAAACTAAGCAAAGGGTAAGACAAGACCACCCACCTCTTACTCCCTCCCACCCTCAGCTGCCTCTCTTCCCCCCAGCTGATTCCCCTTCCCTCTGCTTTTTACACTCTGAAAATTCCCGAATTCCACTGTTGTGTTCAGAAAGTCTGCCCTTTATTTCTTAACTTTATTTCTGTAGATTCTGCCAGGACACCCTTGGCTCCCTTGGTCCTCTTTCCTTTGCTTCCTTTATACCTTCCACTGTTTACCCCCAACCCTCTCCCTCTTATTTCACTTCTTTTTTCCTTCAATTAAAAAATTTAAATGTACTCATCCAAAAAAAAAAAAATGTACTAAACCAAAAAAGTCATTTTTACTCAAGTAGCAGTATTGGTGTATCCCCTAGGTCATTCTCTCAAGGCTTCCCTTGGCCCAGCGCTTGGCAGCTTCTGCGTTGATGCCCGTCCCTTCCTCTCATTCCTCCCCTTCACCCTGTTGAGGACACTAAAATCATTACTTACCCAGAGTGCAGTGGCCTCTACTTGCTAAAACGTGTAATTGAAAGCAAAAGTAGCAAGATGTCCTCAGTGCAGTCTCCCAGTGATGTGGTTAGCACGGGAGGAAATACTTTTTTTAAAAATGCCCTCCTGTGCAAAAATTGGTACTTCAAATCTAGATAAATGGCTAGGCCTGGAAAAATAAGATAGATGAGAACATGGGGATGTTCAGCTTTGAGAAGAGAATTCAAGAAAGCATATGAACGTGTTCTTCAAAGACTTAGATTGTTATAGAGAAGTTTGATTCCTCTCAGGAGGTCACGGGAGGCCTGTTTCAGTATGAGAGGGCAGTGCACTTTCTGTGAGAGCAGTCTGCTGTCGAATGCACTGCCTCCTGAGTTCCTCATTGCAGGAGACACTAGGAGAACAGTCGTTTAACAGACGTGAGTGAGGATTTAGGCGTAGGTTTGCAGGCTGCACCAACTGACCTCTGAGGCTTCATCTAACATTGAGTGTCTACTTTGGACATACCGTTAACTTCCTACTTGTGAAACCTCAGCTCCATTACCAGGCATTATCAAATAGGCTCATTGTAATTGTTCGCCATAGTCTCTTGCCTCTTTGGTAACTGGAGAAAAATCATTTAAATTTTTCTTGTAACTTAGCAACGTAGTGTCATAGATACAATTAAGTAACATCTTTTCTGTTCGCTAATAAACTTTAGGAAGATATATCAGAAATACTTTTTAAATTCCAATTTTATATGATTTCCTTAATTTTATTGAATAGTGAGCGACTTTCAAAGGATGATTTTCTATGTTAAGTATAAATATTCTAGCCATAATTGACTTAGTCTGTCATAATGATGCTTTTTTAATATATCAGATTATTTGCTGAAGGGTTCATATTTATATCCTAATGTTTATAATCCTTTTGGTAGGTATCAGTTTGGACTTAAGCCCTTAGAGTTTTATTCTTTGTCATTTTGCAACTTTTATATATTAGCTGCAATATGTAGGTAGTCTTGCAAATAGTTGGCCTTTAATATATACCTTATTTCTCTGATTCTAAGATGCCCGTGATTGCAACCTGCATCACAGACCTAATAAGTTTGCAAAGAAGAAAAAAAGAAATTGCACATTCTAGTTTTACCATTCATTTGTTTAAATTCCCACTCAGAGTCTGAATGTAAGCCTCTTTTTGACCAGTATGCAGAGCTTCACTGGCACAGTGCTTTTCATTATGTAGAGTAGTGATTTTGACCGCCGAAATCTGTAAGAGTGACTGTATAATTTTGAGGCATGTGAAAGAATATGGAATTTTGTGTCCTTGTCCTTTTTTGTAAAACTCAAGCTGCTTTTTTTCCTTAATTGAGTTGCGTTGTGTATACTACAGGATGAACGGCTTCTCTCAAATTATGGGTGCACCTTTGGACAGAGACATTTAGTGCTGGGTGACAAAGCCTTTCACAGCGTCTGAGTCTGTCACACCAAATTCTCCTGGCTATGAGAAATGCTTTAGACTGAGACCACTGGCAGTTTTCTTTGCTTTTAATTGAGTTGACAGACACAACAGGGTAGTCAGTGTTACATCATAGTGCCATCTTTTTGATAAGAGTTTTAAGTAACAAATCCATGATCTAAATTTAAGTTAAAAAGCCATCCTTGTTTGGTGCTGTATAAATGAAGTCACAGCTAAAGCGACAGGTAGATGAACAAATACCTTTTGTACACAGCTAAGGGTACATGTACTCAGGTGTAAGGACAGCTGTGTCAAAACTTACTCCTGCACCTAGTGGCTGCTAAGTCACTTTTGACAATTGTAAGAAGTGTCAATTTCAGAAATGTTGAAATTTATAAAACCCGTGTCTTAGAATCCAGGAAATACGGTATTTGCTGATTGATTGGCTAATCCTCAAGAAAACCAGTATCGTTTTTGGCAATAGCTCTCCCGAATATACATATTCAGTAGTACGATGTTTTCCTGCCAGAGACAGAAAGTACATTTTTCAAAAGTATTTTCCACCTTGTAAAGGTCTTCATCTTACAGAAACACTTGGGAAGAAGGAAGAGGGCTTTAAAAACAAAAGCATAATTCAGCCTTTAAAGTAAAGGCTAAGGACTTAAAACTTCTACTCAGTTTTTTAGAGACTTAATCGATAATTTGATTAATAGTGTTAAATGGGACAGTCTTCCAAATTTTATGAATGTCTTAGTTGGAAAGATGCTATGTATTAAAGAGCAGTTCTTTTAAAGATTATTTCACGAACATCAGATTTTTCAGATACGTACTATGAAAGATCTGGATTATCGTGTACCAGTTTCAGAAATAACATTTGAAAATGTTATGAAAAATATAAGGTATAAATGTGTAGTGGCTGTAATAATTAATAAAAATAGAATTCTCTCTTGCAAAATTGTTTTAACTAGGACGTACAAAAGCAGATCATGAGTATTTTCTTTAATATTTAGACCACTATTGGTATCTTGATCATATCATTGGTATCTTAGTTACATAACTATAGAAAATCATATTTTTATAACACTTTACTTATCAGCCAGCTCAGTATTATCCAAGGTAAATTTTGACCATCAGTTTATTTCATTCCAACATGTCCTAGCAGCCTGTGCTACTTAATCTATCCTCTGAAGTTGCTAATTCCTCGTTGTCTGTTTTTTGCTGATGTACCCCTATACATTTACTGTCACTTCACATCCACTCCTGTTTGCAGTTCTTGGCCTTAGGAAATTGCATGCAGAATAAGAAGTTGAAGACTGAATTATGAATGCATGGCGATGAGCTCTAAGTGAGCCAGTGTGAAGAGAAAAATAATAGAATGTGTAGCCATAAAGCCTAATTGACTTGGGAAATTTTATAGCTAATAAATTTAGCCTGCCGTTTATTTCTAGCTTTAACTGATGTAACTTCTTTTTAACTCTAGTCATCTCAGCTCAGTAATCCCCAGTTTGTATGGGTGGTGCCGGCTTTGCGTCAGCTTCACGAGATCACGCGCTCGTTTATAAAACAGACCTATCAAAAGCAAGACAAGGTAAGAGAAGAGCCCTGTTCAATGACTATACAGTTACATACACAACTGTTGGAATAACAAAACATAAAGATCTTGCTGAGTTTTATAGTCACTATTTTACATTTTTATGATTATTAATATCATTCATTTATATTCTCTAATAATCTTGAGTTTAAACATCATTCTACTTTCATTTCGATGGAGTTTTTCTTTTGATCTATCCTGAACTCATTTATGACCTTTTTATTTCCTTAATTTATTGAAATGATTACGCCAGTTTTTAAAAGTTAGGATGGTATTTTGGAAATGTGTTTGGAAAGATGTAAAGACATTTGATCTCAGGAAGATTAGATTGTTTAAGGACCTGGAGCTTCCTTGGTGGGAGAGACTTGGGAAGAAAGCTCCGGAAAAGTACACAAGCAGTGAAATAGTTCTTTGGAAAGTTGCCTTAAAAAAAAAAAAAAAAACCTCTAAAAGAAAAAAATTAGCGGAGAAGTTTACTAATTCCCTTAATTCTAGTTATGTGCACACTAGATGATTTTATTTGCTTTTGTGTAGGGTTGGGATTGAAGAAATCCTTAGATTCGCTGTCCTTCACTCACCTAGGACCATGTGATAAAACCGAAGCTTGTGTTAAACTGACCCAATCACTGCAGATTCTCATACCATTTTTCTTTTTGTTGTTTTTGCCAAGAGCATTATTCAAGACTTGAAGAAAAATTTTGAAATTGTGAAATTGGTAACGGGAAGTTTGATAGCCTGTCATCGACTTGCAGCTGCTGTGGCTGGACCTGGAGGCTTAACTGGTTCAACACTGGTAGACGGCCGATACACTTACCGGGAGGTATCCGGCATTGCGCTTTTGTGTCGTGATTTAGAGCATTCATCTGGCTTTTTGCACTTGAACTATAAAAATAATATTTGTTGGGTGTCACTCGAAAAGAGGCGGCGTGAGGTATCTTTGTAGTGACGGAACAGTTTTGTGTTTTCGCTATAACCATTTTAAAATTAAAGTTGAGAAAATTGTTATTTCTGGGTAAATCTTTCAGTAAATCCCCTAAAAACTCCCTGTGATAAAGTGATAAAGATAACCACCTTTCTCTTGTCTTTCTTCGGAAATAATAATTGTCAGTTCTGTGGAGAATTGTTCCTTAAATCAACTGATTAGTAACACTGTTTTTAAAAATTGGAAAAAATCTTAACTCACCACTTGTGAGTTTGTGGTGTTTTACCTTGAGATTGCTGAAATGATATTTTACTGACATCCAAAGTCAACTGAAATTGGTAATAGACTTGAAGTAGCTTCCAAAACATCATGCCGTCAGCTTACAAACAGATGTCTCACATTTATTTTACTCCAAATTATATGAGAAAGTGTTAGGTAGAACTTTTTTTTTTTTAATCAAAAAAATTTGTTTTTAATTTTGCTTTTAGGTAGGAATGCCTGGAGTTAACTAATTAGCATTGCTTCTTTTTGCAGTATTTAGAGGCCCATCTAAAATTTCTAGCATTTTTCTTACAAGAAGCTACTCTGTATCTGGGTTGGAATCGTGCCAAGGAAATCTGGGAATGTCTCGTGACTGGCCAGGATGTGTGTGAATTAGATAGAGAGGTAAGAAGACGGTAGGGTGCGTAAAATAAGGCAGAAGTGGGACTTCAGTATTTTACCTTTTCTGTGTGTCTCATATTTTTTGTGGGTCTCACATCTTTAGTTCTAAACACTTCTCAGTTGGCCAAGCGTACATTTGTACTAACAGGCCAGGAACCGTAAGTGCTGAAAAGGTACTTCAGATAATATATATCTAGGACCTAGACGTACGAGTTCTTTAACCGTATTCTGGATAAAGCCAGGTTCAGAGTGAGCACGGCTACGGAATCCTCTGTGTGTCTTACGGTTTTCTCCCTCCCGTGGAGCTGACCACAAGTTACCAGCCAGAAACCGCGAATTCCTGTGATGATGTTGCACCCCAGAAACACAAAGAAGAGTAAATGCCTAGACAGATTTTTTAAACTATAATTAAGCAGCTGAAAGTAGATTAAACCAGGAGCAGAACACCTGACTTGGCGTATTTTAACAATGAATTGCTGTTTGCTCATCTCATTTTACAGAACTAGAACTGCTTCATAGCACTGTTGAAAGGACCACATACGTGCCCTTGCACAGCACAGTGGCTGGCACATAGCAAGGCTTGTTAATAAGCATTCGTGGAGAAGCCCAAGTTTAAACTCCACTGAACGGTGTGCATCTATATTTGCATTATCTGGGGGAGAGGTTGCTAGAACTGCTTTATTTAGTTGCAGAGCACCAGGCATTTCAGTTTTCAGTGGTATTTCGTCCATAAATATTTTTGAAGATTTAAATATAATTTATCTTCACTCTCCCACTTTGGAATATGTATTTGCCTGAAACGGATTTTAGTTACAGGGTAACATTTGTTTTGATCCACAGATGTGTTTTGAATGGTTTACAAAAGGGCAACATGATCTCGAGAGTGATGTTCAACAGCAGCTTTTCAAGGAGAAGATTCTTAAATTGGAGTCCTATGAAATCACAATGAATGGTAGGAAAACTACTTAAAATCTTTTTTTCTCATTTAGTTAAGAAATTTTATTCTTTCCTTTCCCTCTGAGTCCACATCTCAGAAGCAACTAATCAGTCTGGAATATCCTTCTGGACTTTTCTTTACATCTATGTAAAGAAACGTATGTTTATATACACAGATAAGTTCCTTTTCATGTGAATGGTATTGTATGATTAATTTTAAATTATATGGCCCGGTAGCTCAAATGGTCAAATGGTGGCATGTATCAGTACTTCACTCCATTTTATGGCTGAAGAATACTCCATTGCATGAATATACCACATTTTATTTATGCATCCATCAGTTGATGGACATTGAGTTGTTACCACTTTTTGGCTATGATCAGTAACACTGCTATAAGCATTTATGTACAAGTTTTTGTGTGGACGTTAGTTTTCATTTCTCTTCAGTGTATATTGAGGAGTGGAATTGTATCCTGGAACCAACATTTGAAGAACTGTCAAAATATTTTGCAAAATGGCTGTACTATTTTATGCTCCTCCCAGCAGCATCTGAGAGTTTCAGTTCCTTCCCATCTTCACCAACACTTGTTATTATCTGTCATCTTTATTCTTGCCATCCTGGCGTGTGTCAGGTGTTATCTTGTGGTTTCGGTCTGCATTTCCCTGATGACTGATGATATTGAGCATCTGTGCATGTGTTTATTGACTGTATGTATATAGTCTTTGAAGAAATGTCTATTCACACCTTTTGCCCATTATGAGTTGGGTTGTCTTTTTATTGTTGAGCTGTATATTCTGCATAGTAGCTCCTCATCGGATGCACGATTTGCAAATATTTTGTCGCCTTCAGTGGGTAGTCGTTTCACACTCTCGTAGTCCTTTGAAGCACAAAGTTCTTGATTTTGATGAGGTCCAGTTTACCTGTTTTTTTCTGGAGGTGTTTGTGCTTTTGGTACCATATCTAACAAACCATTGTGTAATCTGAGGTCTTGAAGATTTATGACTGTTTGGTCCTGAGAGTTTTATAGTTTTGGCTCTTGATATACTTGGGAGTCTTTTCATCGGTTATCTGTGGTACTTAGAGTGCATGAATTTATCTGACCTTCTATAATTTCAGGTTTTAACTTATTTAAGACTTTCTTTGAAAATGTGAATCTTTGTGATCATCGATTGAAACGGCAAGGAGCTCAGTTGGTGAGTACATCATTCTGAAATCTAGGTAATTTGGATAATCTAGTAAAACACGACAAAAAAAGGTGTCGTAATTTTGTTAAAGAATGGGCATCTCCTCGACTGCCGTCTTCTGCATTGATGACAGGGCTTCTCTTAGAGCCTAACGGAGGCCCCCCTTCCCAGCACAGTGACACCTCGCCAACTGCCTGCGAGAGCACAGTTGACTCTCCAATCCCTCCAGGCTTCTTGCTGACCTGGGGCAGCCACAGCAGCCTCCTGTGGCTGGGTGAATGCAGGGTAGGGATCGTTTCATTGAAGCTTCCAACTCCTCAGATCTGGTAATGGACATGTTCCTAAAAAGTAACAACATCTTTAATTCTGAAGATGAATCTTCAGTTCATCGCAGTGGCAGGGATTTGGGGAGAAATTTTTAGGAACAGTCAATGAAGCTGGAAAATGATGATCCATAGAATGTATATAGCGTATGTTTATATTTACATATGCACCTTAAGAAAGACAGACAAAAAATAACTCTCTTTTCTAAGACCTAACTCTCTTTATTCAAGACCTGGCTTCCTGGATGGTAAGAATTTTTACAAAATCTCTGAAGCCTAGATTCTGTCATTTGAACGGAGCTTTGGGCAGACCAGATTGAGCCTCAAGGGTTATTAACCACTTCCAGCTGGGCTCTCTTGCCTTTTAGAGAAAAGCTCTTGAAGATGGTGCCCACCTCAGAAGATGGTGCCCACCTCACTCCTATGTGTTTCCGCTTCTGTAGCCTGTCTCGGTAGATTTCCAGCTTAGGTTTAGGAATATCTGGAGAAAACTCTCCATATCCTGGTGGCCGTGGACATAGCCCAGTGTTTCTGTAGTTGTTTTTTTTTTCTTTGTTTTAAAGTTCCAAATCAGTGCAACAGTGCTCTCGCATGTAGCTTAGTTTTTGCAGCCTTAATTCATATTAAACTGAAAGGTGTAGACTTGAGTAATATAATAGAAAATAATTGTCTGTAATTTTGTGACCTTGGTGTGCTTTACAAATTTTTTTCTTTTGAACAGTATGTAGAAAAGCTGGAATTGATAGGAATGGATTTCATTTGGAAAATAGCCATGGAATCACCTGATGAAGAAATTGCTAATGAAGCTATTCAGTTAATCATAAACTATAGTTACATTAACCTAAATCCTAGATTAAAGAAGGTGGGTGCTCGTGCACAGAACAGAAGATTTATATATATATGTTTTTATTGATACGTTCTCACCCTTGGTGTGCCTGAAAATTGGCTTTTTTATTTTGATATTTTGCTCTTAATAATGATTGCAACTAAAAGTCGGACTAATTTTAATTTCTTTTATCTCTTACTTGTAGGATTCTGTATCATTACATAAGAAATTTATTGCTGATTGTTACACGAGATTAGAAGTGAGTGGTAAATTTCCTTTGAACCTGTTTTTGAATTTCACTTGACCCTGTTTTTGAAATAAATGCTTTGATGTTTTTCCTTTTTTAATTTTATATTGGGATCATGTAAAATATTGATATTTGTGGCTGGATTCTACTGAAGAATTTGTCAGCAGTACCTTATTGTCACATAGGGAACAGACATTTGCCTTGGTTTCCCCAGTACAGAAACGTCCTTTATGGGAAAGCTTTCCTTCTCCTTCCACCACTCCTCCTCCCCACTCCACCCACCCCCCATTTTGGAGTATAGAAACTGTCTACAGAAAACAGATCTGCTATACATTCCACTTTTCTTTTTTTTTTTCCCAGATTTTATTTATTTATTTGACAGAGAGAGAGACAGCGAGAGAGGGAACACAAGCAGGGGGAGCGGGAGAGGGAGAAGCAGGTTTCCTGCCGAGCAGGGAGCCCGATGCGGGGCTCGATCCCAGGACCCTGGGACCATGACCCGAGCTGAAGGCAGGCGCTTAACAACTGAGCCACCCAGGCGCCCCTACATTCTACATTTCTAATAGATTCTTTTCTCCTTCTCTTTCTGTCCAGGAGTTTCATGAAAGAACTTGCTTTTCCTACCCTTACCCATTTTCACCTGAGACTGTATCTTAAATGTTATTAAAGGCCTCGCAGGACACTGAGTAGTTGGTGGTGTTGGTGGTCTTTGTCCATTAGAAGCCTGCTGTGTGATACCATCTCACATTTATTTCCAGCATGACGGTTAAAGCATTAAACAGTCATTTTTATTCTTAATTGTACTTAAATTTTATATCTAATGGAGAGTATTCCAAAAACATAGGCTGCTGCCCCCAAGTGTCAATAAATTAACCTTCTGATGATGAATATGTGCTTGAATCCATACAGGATTTTCCAAATTGTGACTTCCATCCAGATAGGTCATCATAAGAAAACATTTAAAATATTCAGATACCTTAAATGAGGTACCATTCAAGTTTTAGCATGTGTAGAACAGTAGTTCTCAACTAGAGGTTCTTTTGCCTCCTGGAGATCATTTGGCAATGTCTGGAGACCTTTTGGTTGTCACAGCCAGAGAGGTCCCCCTGGTACCTAGTGGTAGGTGGGTAGTGACTGGAGGTCAGAGATGTTGCCAAACATCCTGCAAAGCCCAGGAAAGCCCTCCAACAAAAAGTTCTCAGCCCAAAATAGCAGTAGGACCAAGGTTTGAGAAACCCTGATAGAGAATAATTGTTTCCTGTTTCATAGGCAGCCAGTTCAGCACTTGGTGGCCCCACTCTGACGCATGCTGTGACCAGAGCAACAAAAATGCTTACAGCGACTGCTATGCCAACCGTAGCAACATCAGTTCAATCTCCTTATAGGTAAGAGTGACGAAATTACGGCACATCCTTGCCTGATGCAGGAATATATATGTATGTGTATATGTGTGCGTATGTGTATATATGTATGTATGTATGTATCAGTTTGAAAAAATAAAAAATAACTGGCTGCTTTTTTTGGAGATGTCTCAATTGTGGATTTCTTCCTTGTATGTCATAATTTTTGCATATAGTCATATCCTGAGAAATTGTATGACCATATCATACTTCCCCAAATCTGTATGTTTTTCCCTGAAGATCCCTAGGTCATCATCACCACCACCCAGGTATTGCTCTGCCCCTCCCCTCTGCCTAGTGGTCAACTTCTGTTGTTTTGTTACTTTTTTTTTTTTTGTATTTAAATAATTTTACTTTGACTCTATGTAACAGGAGTAACCTACTCTTGCAACAGACTGCAGGTATATTCATTGTACGAAGAGCAATTTTTTTCAAGTTTGAAATATTTACTTAGTTAGACATAACCGTTCTCCTTGTGCCCAAATCAGGGCATTAACAGCATAAGCAAGGTGAAGTGGAAGATGATGGTCAACTAAAATTGTGCGTTATAATATTATCATAGTTAAAACATTATTTACTTAAAATTATTTTTCAAAATAATTTTTAATAAGAATTCTATCACCAAATTCCAACTTTGAACTGACATCTTATCACATTGCCATGTTTTCAGTGTTTCAGTGTTTTCAGATACTATCAGTGAAATCTGAGTTCAATATTTGCTATAGTTGTTTGATGTGGCGAGGAATGTAGATGAATATTCAGAAACATTAGACTGAAGGAACTCAAATGCTCCTGTGAGGTTTTGTAAGCCCTTCATTCTTTGCCCCAAACCAGTGGTGTCCAAGAAACCTTGGCAGGTGCTCAGAACAAGGCTTACTTTGCTGTGCTCTGGTGATGGGTGCTCAGATTGTCTCTTTATACTCTTGGAATGTCTTTATGTGTGTATTTGTTATTTATTTTTATTTACAGTTCTTTTTTCTTTTTAAAGCCTTTCTTTAGAAAAGGAATCAAAACAATATATCCTTACATTCTATATCTTTTTTTTTTTAAAGGAGTTGCGTACTAGGTAGCAATATTTTATTAACATGAGAGATGCCAATAAAACTCAACCCTCTTGGTGCTCTTTTTAAAATGCCAGAAAGTGGGGTGCCTGGCTGGCTCAGTCGGTAGAGCATGCGACTCTTGATCTTGGGTTTGTAAGTTCGAACCCCACATTGGGTGTGGAGATTACTTAAAAATAAAATCTTACAAAAAATGGTTAAAATGGTAGAAAGTAATTACAGAGTATTCAGCTCATAAAAAGAACACTAACATGAGCTTTGCATTCCCATATTGATGGAAGTGTATTTCAAATAGGCTTTCATTGAGAATGTGTATTGAGAATTCCTAATTACATGTTTGTAAGATGTGGTCCATCTCTGCCTAGGTCCTTAATGATTCATTTGTCTGACAAACCAGAGTAGAAATGCATTGATGAACTATTGGATTGGGATTTCCAAACTGCCAACGTCTTTAAATGTGTTTTTTGTTTTTCTCTTTTATAAGGGATTTTTATTCTGAATCAGTTCTTGTTTGTATGACTACAGAGCAAAACTACAGGATAGTTTTTAACTATTCTTGTTATAAACCCTAAACACTGTTAATAGGAATATGTAATTTCAAAATTGCATTTGAACCAGGACACTGTAGTTGATCTTATTTCACTGGTTTTAAGAGAACTTCTCAGTGACCATAATTGAGTTATTCTCTCATCTACACAGTGTTCTGCAATGCTGTCTGTGATTTAATTCATTATTGAGGCATAATTAAGTTCACTCATTCACTTATTTAGTTAGCATTTAGATATTTCCTAAAGATTTTCCATCTCAATATCATATTCTAGTCTTGCCCATAGCCTGAAAGGATTTAAATGTATTTAACAGAACTATTAGAATGTGTTTAACCAACTCTTTTTAAAGTGAAATTTCCAATACTGCTATTCAGCAAACCAGACCAATTGTTAGAAAATGGTAGTAGTATCTTTGTTCAGATTTAGAAATGTCCCTATGCCTAGACTTTCTGGAATAGCACATGTTTAAATTAAGGGCACTTGGATTTTCATCTCTTGATGTTAGCACATGTAATGTTCTCTTTTATAAAATATGGAGCTGTGAATGTATAAGCTCCTGAATGACAGAGTCAGGGTCGTGTGAATTCAGATAATAAGTAATATTCCCTAAGTCGGACCAAAAGGGACCTCAGGTCTCATTTTCAGGTGTGCTAGAGCTCCACACTTCCTGGCCATATTGTTGCCTGTTCTTGAGATGCTTGTCTCCTGATGCATGTTGATTTCTTAAGTACTTTGAAAACCGGTGGTTAGATAATAAATTCTTATGCTTGCATGTTTTACCTATATGGGATGTTCACTTAAACCAGATAAGCAATTGTTTGTCCTTCACATCCTCCTCATTCTCAGGCTCATTAAAACAGCAAGTGTTATTTGTGGTAGACTTACTGGTTTGCATTTGTCTTCTGATTTTCAGGCAGCTCAGAACTTGGTGAGAGTCCATGTGTTTACCAAATTATGTGGCATATTTTAGTTGTAAGATTATGAGACTCAAACTTACTGATAGTTCATTCTTGGTGGATTGATGGACAAATAGACCTGGAGACCCAGGTCCTCTCTTTACAGAACAGCTGTTTACAAAGAGAGGAAAGGAGAGGACACCCGGAGATGCTTGTCCTCCCTGACTCTTTGGGTGCGTTTCAGCTGTGAGCTGGTTGAGCCACCCCCTCTCCGTGGGTGCAGGGGACGTTTAGTCTGCAGACTTCAGCCTTTGACCAGTGAGTGCTGTGTGGTTTTGGTGAAGCAGACTGGAATCAAGCAATTCATTTCAAATATGTTCCAAAAAAATTTTTTTTAATCCGTAGATCCACTAAACTTGTAATAATCGAGAGATTGCTGCTTCTGGCTGAACGCTATGTGATCACTATAGAGGTAAGCCTCTCTTTTTAAAGCCACTTTATCATCGTATCATTAGACTGGTTGTGTTCGGTATGTATTTCTGAGATGTTTCAGTGATGCTGTCCATCTGACTTGTTTGACCTATATCTTTTTCAAGGATTTTTACTCTGTTCCACGAACTATTCTACCTCACGGTGCCTCATTTCATGGACATCTTTTAACTCTAAATGTTACATATGAGTCTACCAAAGATACCTTCACTGTAGAGGTAGGTTTACGTTGAGCCCTGGAGCCGTTCTTGTATTGTCTTGTTACTTTTACTTTTGTGAGAGCACTGCGGGTTGGGATAGCTGCATGAGCGACTATTCTCCAAGCTGTTTGGTCAACAAATCCAGACTAAACACCTGCAGTGAAAGGGAAGTAATGGGGTAGAAGCAGGCCCATAAGTGAGCACATGATATAACATCAGATGGTGATGAGTGTTCTAAAGAATGAGTAAGAATACAGCTGGATGATTTGGTAGAGTGATGCATGTATGTGAAATGTCATAAAAAGATGGGCAGGGAAGTGGTGGTGACATTTGAACAAAGATGGAATGAAGTGACAGCAAGCCGTTTCTGGGGAAGAACATTCCAAGTGAAGGGAGCGGCTGGGACAGAGGCCTTGCCGTGGGGATTGCATGGCTTGTTCGGTAACAGGCAGGGTAGCTGGTGGTGGAGCGCAGAGAGAATGGGAGAGCGTGGCCGACCCCGCGCAGAAGGACTTGAGATTTGATTCCTGCGAGATGGCGAGGACAGGGGCGGGAAAGTGGACATTGAATTACTGCAGAAGGGGAGCCTCCCAGGTGGGGAGTCTTGTCTGTGGGGTCTCTGCTGTTGTTCCTGGCTTCTGGAACAGCACCTGGTACCCGGTCCCTCCTCACAGTGATGTTTGCTTTTATCGTGCAGGCCCACAGTAATGAGACCATAGGGAGCGTGCGGTGGAAGATAGCCAAGCAGTTGTGCTCGCCTGTGGACAACATACAGATTTTTACCAACGATAGTCTGGTAGGTCTGCTCCAACCATTTGCGGCCCTTCAGCCTGACATCCACACCTCCGTCCTCCTTTCCCTCCCGGTAATTAAGAAACCGCTTTTTGCAGCTGACGGTGAATAAAGATCAAAAGCTCCTCCACCAGCTGGGCTTTTCTGATGAACAGATCCTCACAGTGAAGACTTCAGGCAGTGGGACCCCATCCGGGAGCTCCGCCGACTCCTCAACCAGCTCCAGCAGCAGCAGCAGTGGGGTCTTCAGCTCCTCGTACGCCATGGAACAGGTACAGGGTGACGGTCCGCTGACAAGTCAGAACTTAATCTTCGTGCTTGTCCCTTCGGCCCGTGTAGGCTTGGCTGACTGGGTCCTTTTCTGTCCGACCTGTCCTGACTGATGAGGTTCCTCATGAGGGAACAAGCAGAGACAGCCAGGGGACTCCTTTGTGTAGAGATCGGGGGTGAAGAGGACCCAGCAGGGCCAACGACAGAGGAGCCAGAGAGGAAGGGGGGAGCCAAGCGAGGCCAAGCAGATCCTTGACTGCCTTTAAAATGTGTCTAGAATCTAGCTACTCTGGTCTGCCTCCGTGGCTTCCACACGGGTCCAGGCAGCCGTCCTGCCTCACCTGCAGTGTTTTGGCAGCGCCTGCGGGCTCTCCTGGCTCTGCCCTTACACCCCTCAGCCTCTTCACTGTGCGGCGCCCAGCAGCCAGGGCTCTTCTTAAACAGCAGTGACAGGGTGCGCAGACGCTCCCGTGGCTTCATCTAACTAGAGGAGGAGCCCAAGTCTACCCTGCAGGGCTGATCTCCTGAACCCTCGTGGCACTTCTCTGAGATCACCTCCCGCGACCTCCCTCACTCCCACCGCCCCTGCTGTACCGGCCTCCATGTTGGTCCTCAGACTCAGTACGGTCTGTGCTCTTGCACTTCCCTGTGTCTGGAATGTTCTTCCCCAGTATCCTGGTGGTCCTCTCTTGTTCTTCAGCTCTCCCTCAAATGTTGCCTTCTCAGTGAGCCTTCTTTGGCAATCTTATTTAAATTTTTAACCCCATCCTTGCCCTTCTTATTTCCCTTCCTGACTTACTTTAACATATTATATGTATTATCTTATTTAATGTCTCTCTGTCCCCGATGAGATATAAACTCCATGAGAGCAGGCTTCTGTGTTTTGCTCATTGTTGTATCCCCAGCACCTGAAAGAGTGTCTAGAACATAATAGGTACTCAATCATTATTTGTCCAGTCATTTCATGAATCCACCCATTCATTTGGTACCCTCTGTGTCCGGACAGAGCTTGGTACCAGAGCACAGAACTGATGGGCCTGGTTCTGCTTCTTCACTTTTACAGTCTAGAAAGTAAGACCACACCAGACCTCATGTAAAGGTATTCAAATAGCACATGAGGTTTTTTTCATAGTTATATATATTGCTTTAATTCCAAATAGAAGATCTTTGTGTACTGTGTTTTTTTTTCTAACTTACCATAAACTTGCTATAGATCTCAAGAACTCCTTGGGGCTAGTATTAGTGTAATAGTTTTTTTCTTTTTTTTTTAAGTGACTACACTTATATAATAGTAAGAATTTAAGGAAGATCCCACTCGGAGTAGTATTATAACAGTTAATCAACAGCAGAAACAACGTACAAGCAAGCCTTCACTCATTGCATTTTGCAGATGGTGTGTCTTTTACAAATTGAAGGTTGGTGCCAACTCTGTACCAAGCAAGGCTGCTGGTGCCACTTTTCCAACAGCATTTGCTGACTTTGTGTCTCTGTGTCACACTGTGGTACTTCTCACAGTATTTTAAACTTTTTCATTATTATATTTGTGATGATCTATGGTCAGTGATTGGTGATGTTACTATTATAATTATTTTGGGACATCACAAACCATGCCCATATAGGACGGCAAACTTAATAAATGTTGTGTGTGTTCTGACTGCCCCACAACCAGCTGTTCCCAATCTCTCTCTCTCTCCTTGGGTCCCTTATTCCCTGAGACACAACAATATTGGAATTAGGCCAGTTAGTAAACCTGTAATGGCCCCTGAACGTTCAGGTGAGAGGAAGAGCTGTACATCTCACTTTAAATCAAAAGCTAGGAATGATTCAGCTTCATCAGGAAGGGATGTCGGAAGCTGAGTTAGGCCGAAAGCTGGGCCTCTTGTGCTGGTTAGCCAAGTTGTGAAAGCAAAGGAAGAGTTCTTGGAGGAAATTTAAAGTGCTACCCCAGTGAACACACGCGTGGTAAGAAAGTCAGACAGCCTTACTGCTGAGGTGGAGAAAGTGTGAGTGGTCTGGATAGAAGAGCAAACCAGCCACCACATCCTCTTAAGCCAAAGCCTGACCCAGAGCAAGGTCCTAGCTCTCCTCTGCTCTGTGAAGGCTGGGAGAGGTGAGGAGGCTGCAGAAGGAAAGTTGGAAGCAGCAGAGGTGGGTTCGTGAGGTTTAGGGAAAGAAGCCGCCTCCATAACGTGGAAGTACCAAGGTGAAGCAGCCACCGGGTGTAGACGCTGCAGCAGGTGATCCGGAAGCTCTGGCTCAGATCACTCATGACGGTGGCTACACTAAACAACAGATTTTCAGTGTAGACGGAACAGCCTTCTATTGGAAGATGCCATCTAGGACTTCCATAGCTGGAGAGGAGAAGTCAGTGCCTGGGCTTCAGAGCCTCAAAGGACAGGCTGACTCTCTTGTGAGGGGCTAATGCAGCTGTGACTTCAAGTTGAATCCAGTGCTCATTTACCACTCATAAAATTTTAGGACCCTTAAGAATTATGCTAAATCTACTCTCCCTGTGCTCTGTAAATGGAACAACAAAGCCTGGATGATAGCATACTTGTTTACAAGATGGTTTACTGAATATTTTAAGCCCACTAGTAAGACCTACTGCTCAGAAAAAAAAGATCCCTTTCAAAATACTACTGCTCATTGGCAATGCACCTGGTCACCCGAGAGCTCTGATGGAGATAGACCCTGAGATGAATGTTGTTTCCATGCCTGCTAACACAGCATCTGTTCTGCAGCCCATGGATCAAGGAGTCATTTTTACTTTCAAGACATATTATTTAAGAAATACATTTCCTAAGGCTGTTGCTGCTATAGTGATTCTTCTGGTGACTCTGGGAAAAGTAAATTGAAAACCTTCTGGAAAGGATTCGCCATTTTAGAAGAACATTCATGATTCATGACAAGAGGTCAGGATAGTACCATTAACAGGAGTTTGGAAGAAGTTGGTTCCAACCCTCATGGGCGACTTAGAAGGGGTTCCAGACTTTCAGGGGAGGAAGTGACCGCAGATGGGGTGGCAGGAACAAGAGATCTAGAAGTGGAGCCTGCAGGGGGTACCGCGTGGCCGCCCTCTCCGGATAAAACTTGAGCGGGTGCAACGCCATCTCAGGATAAAACTTGAGCGGGTGCAAAGTTGCTTCTTATGGATGAACAAAGAAGGTGGTTTCTTGAGATGCGATCCACTCCTGGTGAAGATGTTGTGAAGATGGTTGAAATGACAGCAAAGGATTTGCAATATCACAGAAACTTAGCTGATAAAAGCAGCAGCAGGGTCTGAGAGGATTGACTCCAGTTTTGAAAGAAGTTCTGCTGTGGGTAAAATGCTGTCAAACAGCATCTCGTGCTACAGAGAAACCATTCATGAAAGGAAGACTCGATCGATGCAGCCAGCTTCAGTGTGGTCTTCTTTTAAGGAATTGCCGCAGCCACCCTCAGCCGTCAGCAGCCATCGCCATCGAGGCAGACTCCTCCCCCAGCAGAAAGATTGAGACTTCTTGAAAGCTCAGATGGTGGTTAGCATTCTTCAGCAATAAAGTCCTCTTTAATTAAGACATACACATTGTTTTTTAGACACAATGCTACTGTACACTTAATAGAGTGTAGTATAAACTTATATGCACTGAGAAACCAAAAAATCCACTTGACTCTTGCAGTATTTGCTCTCTCACCGTGGTCTGGATGTGAACCTGCAGTATCCGCAGTATGCCTGCACATAGCATCGTCAAGCTTAACATTTTCAGATCGTCTCCTCTTTATCCTAAATTTATTAAAAATGTTCTCTTTTATAGTGACATTCTATAGTGACTCTAGTTTCTTATCTTTATAACCAGAAAATAGTACTTTAACCACATCTAAGTCTCTTCTACCTGTTGTGTGTGTGTGTGTATATATGTACCTAGTACTACTTTCATTTTGCTTTTAAATCAGTCATTGCCTTGTTTGCTCCTGACGAGCTATGATCAGCTTTCAGTGGTGTCTACTCTCCATTCTATTAATTATACCTGCCCATCATTTTACTTCTCTTCCACTTCCTGCCTTTTGGCCCCTTAACCCTTCACCAGCAGGTGGATAGGGGAGAGCCCAGGTAATAGGCACTAGAAGGATGTGGTCCCGCCAGTGTCTGTTCCCAGGTGTTGCTCTGTGCTGCAGGTGAGCACACAGCTCCCCTCAAGGTTTGTGGCGGCCACTCTTGCAGAAGTAGTAATTTTATTGTTGGCACGTTTGATAAGAAAAAGAGAAAATGTTTCTGTCAGTTTGTATTTATATTTTGCTTTTTTCCCTCAGGAGAAATCCCTCCCTGGTGTTGTGATGGCACTTGTATGTAATGTGTTTGACATGCTTTACCAGCTTGCCAATCTGGAGGAGCCAAGGTAAATATAAATGTTTACGAGGCCTGAAAGAGAGGAAGTTATTGAGGTTAGGGAACCAAGTCCATTTTGACTTGACTTTACATTTGTCAGGAACAAATGACTTTGGTATTGAAACCGGCTTATGTGAAAAAATTTGTATTTGCAAAATTTCAGGATAACTCTACGAGTACGAAAGCTGTTGCTCTTGATACCCACTGACCCAGCCATTCAGGAAGCCCTGGACCAGCTTGATTCCTTGGGAAGAAAGGTACGAGTGTCTTGGACTTAAGTGGCATGGAAATTTTAATGCCATGATTCAGTAGCGATACAACCTGAAATCACTTTCAGGCCTTATGCTATCCTATAACAGTTCTTTAAAAAAAAAATACCTTTGCTGTAAATGGAAATCAGAACTTCATGTTGACTTTTAAAACACCTAGAATCAATAATGACATCAAATTTTAGAACCAGAGAGCCTTTTATACGTACTTCCACGTTCTTCTTGTTCAGGATTAAGATACTGAAGCCCAGAAAGATGAAGTGTCCCATCTAGGATCAGACTCTGGAAGAGTGCTGATTCAGTGGAGACATTTTTCTTCTGTCATGAGACCTCTCTGAATGTGATTGTTGCCTGTGTTTGAGTTGCTTGTGTAATTATTATCATTTAATTTTTTTCCACAGTTGATACTTAAAGTTCATCCTAATTTCTATAATGTTTTTCCTCAAGAATCTTATCATACGTATTGAAATTATATTCTCTCTATAATATTGTTTAATTATGTTCTCAGAACAAAGTCATGTGGAACAAAGTTGTTAGAACTGCAGTACGAATTTATGTTTCAGTGGTTGAAGTTTACAACCAGCTCATAGTCTGGTCATACACAGCTTAGGTATTTGCAGGGAGAACAAAACTAATGTAATTGCAAAATGTATCACTAGTACTAGCTCAAAACATGTTCAAAGCTTCCACTTCCACAAGTTTATAATTTAATCATCAGTATTTAGTAGTACAGATTTTTAAAACACAGAGATAAGGACGACATTGCTGGTGTCGCCTAGAAGACACTCTCAGACACGTGCCTTACGGTCGGGATGCTGTTGAGCACTTACAGTTTGTGTGATGGAATTTGATGTTTCGTTAAAAATTACCAACTGATGTGTCCTTGAGGTTAATTTGTAGGAAATTCCTTTGGTGCGATTAAAGAGGAAAAGAACGTTAGAGTGCACACTGAGGTGTGTTTTTCTTTAACTTGTCCTTTTAACACATATATCCTTTGTTTTCATTCTTTAAAACCTTAGAAGACATTACTGTCTGAAACGAGTTCTCAGTCCTCAAAGTCTCCATCGCTGTCCTCCAAGCAGCAGCATCAGCCAAGTGCCAGCTCAATTTTGGAAAGTCTGTTTCGATCCTTTGCTCCAGGAATGTCCACCTTCAGAGTGCTCTACAACTTAGAAGTAAGAAGCCTCATTTCTTTTCATTTCATCTGGACAGATTCATTTTTGTTTGCACATTCGTGCTTTTAGATGTCGGAGATAAGTATTTTTATTGGATGATCTGTGACAAAATAAGTTTTCAAAAAGAAGTAAAAAACAGAATATAAACTGAACTGTTTGGTGTTTTTTGGCCTTAGAAAAGGCTGTCTTTTTTCCACTTTATACATATGCACATTGTTACACTTGCAATACAACCTGTAAATAAATAATGAGGAAGCCTTATGTAGTAAAATATGCCATTATCTTCCTCTGGAAGTTTAGTGAGTCTGTCCAATACAGTTGTAATCCTCATCCTAACTTTTTAAAAAACAATTGTAATTTGTTGTCATAAATGAAGCTATGAAGAGTTTGTCAGAAAATAATCATTTCAGGTTTTTTAAAAAAAAGCAATTGGAAGAATTTAAGCAAAGAATATTTTTATTACCCTCTTTCCAAAAAGTAGCTTTAAACTAGTAGATTTAGTTCCATAAACATTTACTGTTCAATGTCTGCAAGTCATTGTGGTAAAGGATGAGAGTTGAAAAGACAAGATGTCTGCTCCAAAATCTTGAGTAAGACACAAGAGAGGCTGCGTACTCTGAGTCTTAAGAGCAGAGCAGTAACGGGGCAATAGGGGAGGGTGAGCAAGTGGAAACACTCTGCTCTTGGAGGGTGAGAGGTTAGACCTTCTTGCCATTTTAGGTCTGGAGAAGATAAAGCCCTGAATGATTTTGCTTTGCCCCAAGTTTTGTCTCCTCTGGCAGTCTAATTTGGAGTATGCAAACGTGTTCATTCATTGGAGTATGCAAATGTGTTCAATCATTAGAGTGTGCAAATGTGTTCATTCATTGGAGTGTGCACAAACGTGTTCATTCATTTTTCTGCATCACTTGTTCGTGTGTTCAAGCTGTGTTCTTTCATGTTAGCCTTAATCATGCTTGTGAAGAAATGTGTTGGGTTCAAAAGGAGAAAATATTTAGCAAATGTTTTTAAAAGAAAGCATGTCTTTATTTAGTGTGGGCATTTAAAAAATAGATGTATGTGATATTCTAAGACAGAAAATTGCCCAGAAATTTTTGGCCAGTTTAAGCTTATAAATTTTGCAATACCTGCAAGATTTGTCAGTTGCTTTTGAATGATTGTCTTAAAAAAAGTTAAGATATAAACTTCAACACCCACATTCGAGAGCACCTAGAAAAGCAGAACGGTCCATCAGTGAGTCTGGCTTGTCATCTACTACCTAGATTGCATTATCTTAGAGCCAGAGGACAGTAGTAGTAAAATACCTCCAGCACAATTTCAGTACTTCTGATTAACTGGGAATTCCTTTGAGAGGTAGTTTGTTTTTGTTTTTTGTTTTTTTGCTTTAGACAGCACAAAACATTTGGAAAACTGAACACTTTCAAAAGCACTCATTTTGGGGCACCTGGGTGGCTCAGTTAAGTGTCCAACTCTTGGTTTCGGCTCAGGTCATGATCTCAGGGTCGTGAGATGGAGCCCTGCATTGGGCTCTGTGCTCAGTGTGGAATCTGCTTGAGAGTCTCTCTCCCTCTGTCCCTCCCGCTCCTGATCTCTTTCTCTCAAGTAAATAAATCTTTAAAAAAAAAAAGCACTTATTTTTACTGACCCCTGAAAGGTTAATTTCTTTGCATTTTAGTCTTCAACTTACGTTTGTCTACTAGGAAGCTTCAAAGTGGCTATTCCAAATACCTGTTCCTTTGAAGAAGTCTTCCACTTTCACTAAATTGCTGTCTGTTAAGAATGGGGAATACATATGTGGCTGTCAGCTCACAGAAAGGGTTAGAAAAGCAGGGGCGCCTGGGTGGCTCAGTCGTTAAGCGTCTGCCTTCGGCTCAGGTCATGATCCCAGGATCCTGGGATCGAGCCCCACATCAGGCTCCCTGCTCAGTGGGGAGCCTGCTTCTCCCTCTCCCACTCCCCTGCTTGTGCTCCCTCTCTCGCTGTGTCTCTCCCTGTAAAATAAATAAATAAAGTCTTAAAAAAAAAAAGCAGAGGACTCCCTTCCTCCCAGCAGTGCTTATAATCTGAGGCTGACGAGCCTATTTCCCAAAGAGCACTTCAGGAAGGAAACATTTGTAAAAAAGAAATCCTACACTAAAAGTCTACACACATAAAACCCATGGATTCGTAGAAACAGATTTTCTAGAATAAAAAAGGATCTTGAATGTATCTGTTTTTAAAACCTTGGAGAACCTGAGGCAGTGGGTTCCTTTATTTTTTTTTTTATTTTTAAATCATAAAAACCAAATAAGCAGTTGGTTACTAAGTCTCATACTATAGTATTATTTCTTTGAAATAATTATCTGCCATACTAGAATTTTTAGTTAAGCTTTCCTTTAGGTACATGTATCAGTGCCATAAAAGGGGAATGGATTTAGGAGGGAGGCACATCTGGGTTTGAGGTCACTTAGCCTTTTGGGTCTCAGTCTTTACCTGTAAAGTAAAGTACATACAGCATGCATGGTGAAATTAAGAGAGAATGCATGTAAAGACTTCCTTTTATGCCTACTATTATGTAGGTGGTCAGTAAATAGGAGTTTCAGAATCATTATTAGAGAGCTCATCTAACATTTTTTTAAAAGATTTTATTAATTTGAGAGAGAGCGTGCATGCACAAGTTGGGGGAGGAGGGGTGGGAGAGGGAGAAGCAGGCTCCCCTCTGAGCAGGGAGCCTGATACGGAGTTGCATCCCAGGACCCTGAGATCATGACCTGGGCCTAAGGCAGACACTTAACTGACTGAGCCACCCAGGTGCCCCCTCATCTAGCGTTTTTAAGGAATGGGCTATTTTATAAAACTTCATCTACTTTTTCAAAAACATGTCTAGCATATCACATAATGTTACGTGCTCTTATCTAAGCCTGAGACATCCACCTTTGCTGGTTTCATGAAAAGAACACACCAGCTTTCTTCAACAAAACATTTTTCTTGCTAACTAAATAGAACTTGGAAAACACGATTAGTTCAATTGTGAAACATCAGCCCCCTTCTCCTGGGGGCAGGGGCGGGAAAGAGCATGCAGCACTTAATGAGACTCAGACTCAAGTTATTGGATTGTTTTACTTAGTGAAGGAGTCATTTTTGCTGGAAATACTGGGCTCTCTAACTGTGCCTGTCTGTTTTCAAGGTTCTAAGCTCCAAACTCATGCCAACAGCTGATGATGACATGGCAAGAAACTGTGCAAAATCCTTCTGTGAGAACTTCCTCAAAGCAGGAGGACTGAGGTTAGAGTTTCACTATAATGTCGCAAGAATTGCAAAGAATGAATATAGTTATTGTGGGTAATGTCTCCTGCTGGGCCTTGGTTATTCCTATAAGGTATTGTGTGAAGCATCACGAGAGTTATAAGAAGAAGAAATGGTGTTTCAGTCTTTGAAACGCTCAAATTTCATTTTATGACTTTTGGTTATTTGGAGAACTGGCAGAAGCACATCTTCCCTCCGGTAGTGGGAGAAATTCTTGAGAAGAGTAGAGGAGAGGAAGCAGATCTGTTTCTGCTGATTGCTGCATCAGTTTGACACCAGGCAAATTTGATTCCCAGTAATGGGTGTTTGTGAGGCCTTATTAGTGCTGGGGATGCAGAGATAACTTAGATCTCATTCCTGCCCTTTAGAGCCTCATGGTTTAACAAAGAATAACAAACAGTTGTTAGAGGTATCAAAACAGGCTCATAAAAAAGTGCATTGGGTGGCAGGTAGGCAGGGGTGATGGAAGGTAGTGCTTAAATGGTGAAGTTTTCATGGGGTAATAAGATTAGAAGGGCTTTGCAGAAGATGACATTTGAGCTGGGAATTGAGAAGAGAGCAGGAATCCCCTATAGGACTCGTGGGGAGAGGGCACGCTAAGTCAGAGGGGCTGGGATGAGTAAAAGCACCATGGTGTGTGGCCTGTCTTGGGAGCCACAGTTGCCTGGGGAGGCCAGAGCAAAGGATGAAGGGGAGAAGTATGTCAGGAAGGGTCACCTTGAGGAACCTCAACATTAGCTTATAGACCATGGGAAAACAGGAGGTTTCAAAGCCGGGAATTGCCTGGCACGATCATTTTGGCCGCAGTGGAGATGACGAATAAATAGAAGTGGGAGAGACGGACGCAGGGAGAGCCATGCAGTGGCCCCGAGAAGAGTGACAGTGGTAAATGTTGGGCAGCAGTAACCGACATCATAAGGTAACGTAGACAAGTTTTTACAACTAGATATAGGGGAGGAAATGTATCATCAATGGCCCTGTGACTCCTCGCTTGGGAGAGGGAGGGAATGGTGAACATTTAGTCAGCGACGGAAGTAAGCTCGGAAGGGGATGGAGGACACAGGACATCAAGAGAGATGAACATGGTTGAGGTGCGTGAAGTGAGGAGCCCAGAGCGGCGTCAGAGACGTGGGGGAAGCAGAGCAGGGGTGACAGTGACTGGAAGGGGAGAACAGCTGAGGGGAAAGCTTGCTTTTCTGTTTTGCTTTTACCTTGGGGAAGCCTAGGTTGTCTTTGCAGGCTGACTAAAGAAAGATCAAAGGAAAAGGGATAATCCGTGGGGCCAAGGTCTCCTGCCCTGGCAAGAAGCAGGCCTGCATTTCCTCAGGCGAGGAAGGAAGGAAGGCTGGAGGACAGTTGCAGGAATTCCCGTGGGAGGCCTTGTGGGGAAGAGGCTGGGCTGAGACCTTGAAACGATAAAGGGAGTGGGGCTGAAAGAATTCCCAAGCGTGTGGAAGGCCTCCTGCATGGAGCTTGATTCGTTTTCAGAATCGCAGAGGTGTGCTCAGTGAAACCTCATTTCCGATTACTCACTTCCAATCACGGAGCTCTGGAATAAAGGCATTTTACTGCTGGCTTAGTTGTGTCAGTTAATCTGCATGCCAGGCATTGTTCTGAGCACTGAGAACAGAGCAGTGAACAGATTAGACAGAACTCCACATCCTGTGACGCTTCTGTCTGGAGGGGAGACAGGCAATAAAGAAGTGAAAGTAAAAGCATATGCCAGCAGGTGATAAGAACTGTAGAGAAAAATGAGACAAGAGGGAATGGACAGGGTTGTGATTTTCAGTAGGGTGATCAGGGAAAGTTTCACTGATGGGGTGACGTTTTACAAAGATCTGAAGGAGGTGAGGAAGGGAGACTTGGGGGGAAGCCATCCAGAGGAGCAGCCAGTGTGTGCCCCTGCAGGAGACAGACCTGGTGCCTTCGGAGACCAGTAAGCCTGTGGGATTGGGGTAGCAGGAGGGAGACAGTAGGGGACATGAGGTTACGGACGTACCAGACGTCAGCTTATGGGTCTTACGGGTTACAGGTTACTGTCAAGACTGCCTTTTCTTCTCTGTAGGAAACAGGAAGCCATTGGAGGGTTTTGTGCAGGGGAGGAGTGCCGTGATCTGACTTAATATTTTAAAAGGATCACTCTAATGGATCTTTTTTTTCCTTTCTTCTTCTTCTTTTTTTTTAAAGATTTTATTTATTTGACAGAGAGAGAGAGACAGTGAGAGAGGGAACATGAGCAGGGGGAGTGGGAGAGGGAGAGGCAGGCTTCCCACGGAGCAGGGAGCTCGATGTGGGGCTCCATCCCAGGACGCTGGGATCATGACCTGAGCCGAAGGCAGGCGCTTAACGACTGAGTCACCCAGGCGCCCCATGACTGATCTTTTGAGAATAGATTTTGGGGGTGGAGAGTCAAGAGTGGGAGCAGGAAGAATAGTTAAGAAGCTTTTGTAATAAGAGAAATTGTAGTGAATGTGAAAACAAGCTTTATTAAATATACCAATTCTAGATACGTTTTTAACTGATAGTTCTTCTAGTGATAAAATAGTGGTGAATCAGTGAACTCACACCCGTCAGCGAGATGGAGGATGATCCAAACACTCTAGCTTTTGGCTAAGCAAGGAATCTAACTCTAAATGGACCAAGAGTTGCAGGAATCATAGGAAATCATTGTGGTAGAAATATGTGTGGTCTGTGTGTATGTAAGGCTCTTACAGAAATTTTAAGTAATTGATAACATTTACATAAACAATTAAATTAGTTACAGAAAATTTCCTATGGAAGAAGTGGAAGTCTTTATTTAATATCCTGCCTTTTTCTTTTCTTTTAAGTTTGGTTGTAAATGTCATGCAGAGGGATTCCATCCCATCAGAAGTAGACTATGAAACAAGGCAGGGCGTTTATTCCATCTGTCTACAGCTCGCCAGGTATGTAAATATATCATCTTAGTCTCACAAGACAGTACTTCACTTTATTTCTCTTCCCAAATGCTATCATTTTGAATAGTATGAAATAACCTCAAATAAGTTTAACTTTTTGTTTCCTTTGAAGATTTTTACTTGTGGGACAAACAATGCCCACGTTATTAGATGAAGACCTCACCAAAGACGGCATAGAAGCACTTTCTTCTCGCCCATTCCGAAACGTCAGCCGGCAGACAAGCAGGCAGATGTCCTTATGTGGTACTCCAGAAAAGTCGTCGTACCGACAGCTGTCCGTATCTGATAGGTCTTCCATTAGGGTCGAGGAAATCATCCCTGCTGCACGAGTTGCAATACAAGTAGGTGACTTGTGCATTCAAGAAATTAGAAGTCCCTGCTGTTTCAGGGAGGGGCTGTGCGGTCCTACAAGTTATTGACATGAACGTAGCCTTCATGGAACCTACGGTGAGCCAGAGAGGGACCACCAGTGCAGAATCACTATCATTCAAGGTGGGATGTCTCAGGGGTTATAGGAGAGTTACAAGGGCAGAACATCCGTAGGCCTTCAGGGGAAGTGGACTAATTGTCTTCCCCCGGTGCTGTCGTGGACGATTTTACATCGGAGGTGACATTTGTGCTAGGCCTTAGAGCTAGATGAGATGACGGAGAAGCATGGAGAGTTCCTTCAAAAGCGCAGGTGTGAGCAAAGCAAGAGAGACAGAGCAGAGCCTGTAGGGAAGGCCACGGGGTCGTTTACGCAACCCAGAGTGTACTGTGTGGGAGAGGAGAAACGGTAAAAACCGAACGAGTGACGGGTGTCCTGACGCCTGAGCATGGAGATCACGCTCTGGGTTACAGGTAGCGGACATACTAAAAGTCTTTGAACAGTATGGAAGCATGAAAAAGGCTGTCCTTTTGGGTGATCGTGGAGGAGAAAGGGTCTCACAAAACTGAGACCAGTCAGGGGATGGAAGTCAGCAGGGGGAATGTGTTCCAAGTGCTGCCTTTTCTCATAACATTCTTCCTGCCCTTATTTAGACAATGGAAGTGAGTGACTTCACGTCTACGGTGGCTTGTTTCATGAGGTTGTCATGGGCTGCCGCTGCAGGACGACTTGACCTCGTTGGGAGCAGCCAGCCAATTAAAGAAAGTAATTCTCTGTTTCCTGCTGGAATCCGGAGCCGACTCAGCAGTTCAGGTACTGATTTAAAAGAAGTCATTAAATCACCGGGCAAGAAATAAGCTGTAAGACTTATCTATGCATAGGCTGTTTGGAGTCGCAAAGAGGAGGAAGCCTTTTCTCTTGCTTTTGAGCATGAGTAGAAACCCATCAAGCTGTGCCCTTGAGACCTGTGCACGTTACTGTACGTAGGTCAGACTTTAAGGAAAAAAAGCGTTGATAAGCACAGAGGAAGTGGGGAAACCAGATCAGCAGAGTTTAGCTTGCTGAGTGTTGTAAAAGTGCCATGAGGCCAATAATTGTGGCCATAATAAAAATTCATCTGGAATTCCTACCTGGAAAAGTCATTTTCTTGGTTTGGCCAGTTATTTTCTATAAGGCTTTTATAAATTGGTTTCCCTCTTCAATTTATGTGTGTATTTTTACCTCAGTAGAAAAAAATTTAGAAATGTATGACATTCGTACAGCGAAGTGTGAAAGTGTTAAGTGTCCAGGCTTTGGGGGATTTTTACATACAGACGACCATCTGGGTCAGGACGAGGGGTATTTCTAATATCCCAGGAAGACTCTCTCAGGCCCAGCAACTGCACTGTCTCACTCCTGTCACCTCAACTGAGTTTCGCCTCCTGAGTACATTTTGAGTGCCTCCAAATATGTTTTAAAGCAGTAGGGGTCAAATAAAGTGATTGTCTCTCGTTTCTTAGACCAGAATGTCTCCTTGCACTGTTTAATTTCACTTGAGGATTCTGGAGCACATTAAAAGGATGTTATGATACTGTGAGGGTCCTGTGGGGTCCGCAGTAACCTTCTGCTTGCCTATTCCCAGGAAGCAATTGCAGCTCTGGGAGTGAAGGGGATCCGGCAGCCCTGCATGCGGGCATCTGCGTGCGACAACAGTCTGTGTCCACCAAAGACTCGCTGATTGCTGGGGAGGCCCTGTCTCTGCTTGTTACGTGCCTGCAGCTGCGGAGCCAGCAACTGGGTAGGCGGGAGGCTTGTTTGCCCTTCATGTCTTTTAGGGAAACGCCAGGTTTCTGTTGGGAATTGTGTACATTCCCTAGTAGAAAAGGTTGTGCTAATAGAAATGAAGAAGGGGGGAAAGCAGGCAGGTGGGCTACGTAAGAATAGTGCTGAAAGTGGCTAAATTCTGAACAAGTATTTATTGAGCACCTTCTGTATACAGGGTTCCACAGTTAGGTATTAAACGGGCAGGATGTCCTCTAGGAGCTTACTGTCTAGTTGGGGAATGAAGACAACCCAAATTTATAGGTCATAAACTCCAGAACTAGAATTCTGTATCCATCCCTAAGCTGGTGATGACTCTAGCATTCAAAGTTACGAAACTTCACACCTGCCCTTTGATCCTCATTTGTGGGCTTTGGCAAACTGGGGCTGTTATTGATCACACTCTAACATTAGAATCCCCCCAGAGCCCGGCCCCTGGTCACTGTCTCTTCTCAGTCTACACCCCTTCTCCCTGTGATCTCATCCATCATCACAGCCCCAGATTCCCCCTAGTGTCTGAATGTGAAACTACAGCCTAAACCGCTGCCCTGACCCCTCCACTCAGCTCTCAAGTAGTCTTCCCAGGTCCACAGCCAAACTCCTTAGCTGGTCCGCATCACGCAGGAGTTTTCCCAGCTTAAGTAATAGCGGTTTCATTCTTTCAATTGTTCTGGCCAAAATTTTTGAGTCTTCCTTGATTCCTTTTTCACACCCCCTTCTGTCAGCACATTCTCCTTCCAACCATGTCAGATTCTGCCCTCTAGTACCACCACTGTTACCCCTCTCTGCTCCAGCATCATCCCTCGCTCGGATTATAGCAGTAGCGCCCTGACAGAGCTCCCTGCTTCCATCCTTGCAGTTTATTCTCCATACAGTAACCAGAGTGGACCTTCTGAAATGTAAGTGAGGTTGTAGCACTCCTCTGTTTAAAACCCAGCAACAGCTTCTCAGTTCCCACTGAGTAAAAGCCAGATCTTTACTAAGGCCACACAGAGTCCACCCCTTTGACACCTCTGTGTCTTCACCTTCTCCTGCTCTCCCCCTCCCTCTCTGTGCGTTGGCCTCCCTGGCTGTTCCCCAACACTCCAGGCACATTCCTGCCCTTGCACTGGCTATTCCCTCTTCCTGGTATGTTCTTCCCCATCTTTCCCACATGGCCCTCTCTGCCTCATTTCCTACAGGTGTGCTTAATCTCATCTCTTAGACATTCTCTGACCACAACCCTCACGTCTTTCCAGCACTACCTAAACCCCTTAACCTCGTTTCTTCTCTATCACTTACTATCTTCCAGCATAGCCTGTAGTTTATTTACTTACCATATTTATTGTCATCATCCCTCCCCACCTAGATTGTAAGCTCTGTAAAGACAGACTTTTGTCCATTCTGTTCCCCACTGACTCTCTCATACCCAGACACCGCCCAGTGTGTAGTAGGCCCTCAGTAAATATTTATTCAGGAATGAAGTCTTAACAGTTCCACTTCTAAAAATTGTACCAATGCATCGAAGCCCTGTTCTTCCCTGTTATCACTGATTCAGACCACCTGTTACATAAGATTGATGACTGTTACGTGTTTTCGTATAATACCCAAATTCATCATATAAGATAAGGTAAATCTAGAAAAAGTTGGAGATTTGTAGAACGGTACTGTAGCGTCCAAGATTATTTGTTTTGAGCAAGAATGCTTTTGAAGACATGCATAAGTACAAGTCATTACGAAATGCTTTTGAACAAATGCCATACTCATAGTTCAATTTTCCTATAATTGTTTAGTTTTAGAGATATTTTCAAGTCAAGATGAGAAGATTACAACTTCCCTTCAAGCTTTTTTATCATTTGTGCTTTCATTGTAGAGGATTGATAGTTTATCAAGGCAAGACATACTGTTCTATAACTGGTGTGGACAAGGCACTGTGCTAAAATGTGGAGGCACGGGGGTGACCAAGACATGGTCCTGCGCCTGGGCACCTTAGGTTCTCGTGGGGGAAACTCAGAGATGTGGAGGCAGTTGTAGAAAGTACTGAATTCAATTTCAGGTAGAAAAAGAGATGAGTTTCTGCTATAGTTAAGCTTAAGAAAGTATTCAGAATTTTTGAAATTTTGAAAATGCATTTCCTAACTTGATCCCCCCCTCCCACCCCCAATTCTCCTTATTCTTATCATTAGCATCTTTCTATAACTTGCCCTGTGTTGCTGATTTTATCATTGATATTCTGCTGGGATCACCAAGTGCTGAGGTAAGGATTTTTTACATTATGTAAAACATCCCCTTGGTCCTCTCCTGTCCACGGCCCTCTGCAGACCTGTGACACTGCATGCACGACAGAAGGCATAGCGTCCAGTCCTCTTGGGAGTCCTACAAAGGGCTCTGAAAGCAAAGTGACCATTTGGACGCTCTGCCCTCCTTTCTATTCCGTATTCCACCGAAAGCTCAGAGCTTAGTGCTAAGACTACTTTGTGTTTGTTTACAACAAACAGAACGTTACAGCTGGTGTTGAGCGCCTGCAGCTGACGTTCAATGTCAACATGTTGGTCAAAGTCAGGAAAGACCAACTTCAAGCCGTGAACTCCCACTAGATTTTATAATTCTGATTTTTCTTACATGACCTTGAAAAGTAACTTTGAAACACTTGAAGAGTTTTTTCTTACTTTCATTTATATTAAATAATAAAACTTTTGAGTAGGAGAATAGAATAATTTGGAGGATCAGTTCTCCGACCACGCTTGTTTTTAATCAGCCCTAGTTTATTCAGTATAAATGTTACCATTAGTGATTAAAACGTTCACACCCTTATAGCATCCCTCAGAGTGTGGACTTCGGAGGAAAATCACTTTGTAAGCAGTCTCTAAGTGTTGGTTGATGTATGTCCTTCGCCACTAATGATGTAATTTCAGATTCGCCGTGCTGCCTGTGATCAGCTGTACACTCTTAGTCAGACAGATACTTCAGCTCACCCAGATGTACAGAAGCCAAACCAGTTTCTCCTAGGTGTGATTCTCACGGCTCAGCTACCTCTCTGGTCCCCAACTAGTATTATGAGAGGAGTCAATCAGAGGTACGGAATCAAGATTAAAGGTCACATTATACCAAAAGAGAATAATGATTTGCGTGCTGCTCCCCTGAAGTCCATGGTGCATTACTGAGATGACCGAAGAATTTCTCCTTTCTTCCTGTAACATCTGTGTCCTAAAAGAGGGTTTTTCAGTTCTTATCCCCATTCAGGACAGGAGGGGTAGAGGAAACACTACCAGGCTTCCTTACCCTTGAATCACTTCGAACTCCCACCTCCACCTGACGTGGTCCACCACCCCCAAGAGAAAGAGGAGCTCACCTGGGTAGTGAGAGGCTGAAATTAATGGGAGCCCCATCACTTTTTGAAGATTATACTGTTCATGTCCTTGCATTTATCACGCTCTCAGATCAGCATACTTTCTGACTCCACATCTAGATGTAGCTGGGGTGTCCTTCTAGTTTTCTCCCTTGGTTTTACACGTGTCTGGGCATGGAGGGAAGCTGCGGGCCAGACTGATGGAGTGGCTTGGGTAAGTTCATTCTGCCCACCCTGCCGTATCCCTGTGGGCTAGCCTGCATGCAAGGCTGTCCCGGGTAGGTCCAGGATGGGAGGGAGGAGATCCCACACCGACCTCCACTTTCTCCAACTTAGCTTTACCAGGGAACCCTTGCCAAAGGGCTTGTAAGGTACCACCAAGATGTGTGAAATGAGTATCTACTCTCCTTGTGTATATGCTTTACAAATTAGAGCTCTGGAAGGGAAGAAATATTAGAGCTACTCCAGCCCCCTATGTTTGGATAAGTATCCAGACCCCCTAAGTTTGTATCCAAACTTGGTCTGTTTAAGCATATATAAGCATTTAAGCATAAGTTCAGGGGCATTAAGTATATTCTCATTATTGTGCAACCATGTCCACCATCCATCTCCAGGACTTTCTCATCATCTTAAACTGAAACTCTGGACCCATTAAGTTGTGAAATAAAAGACTGATAAATTCAACTCCATAAAAATTAAAATATTCTATGTGGAAAAAAAAATACCATAAAGTCAAAAGTCAATTCACAAACTGGCCGAATAGATTTGTAGCATAAGACAGACAAGAAACTCATTTTGATAATATCTATAAGAAGCTGTTAGAAATCACTAACAAATGACCCAACAACCAAATTGAAAAATGGGCAAAGGACATGAAGAGACAGTTGAAAAATTAGGTGGTTTTTTAATTTTTATATTTGCTAGAATTTCTTTTTTACTACAGCAAAATGTACATAAAATCTATCATTTTCCTCATTTTTAGGTCTAGAGACCAGTGACATTAAGTACATACACAATATACGTTGTTGGGCAACTCACCCCACTACCCAGTCCCAGAACTTTTTCATCTCAGACTGAAACCCTGTACCCACTAAACAGTAACTCCCCATTCATTCCCCATCCCCCCATTCTGCTCTGTCCAGGTTCATCCATGTTGTAGTGTATGTCAGGGTTTCAGTTTTCTTTCTAATTAAGATGGAGAAATACTTCCTTTTTTGTTCTTTCTTTAGCTGCCTGTGCTCTTGGCATCATATCTTAAGAAATCATTGCCAAATCCAATGTCGTGAAGTGTTCTCCCTATATTTTCTTCTAAGGTTTTTATAGTTTTCACTCTTAGATTTATGTGTTTGATCCATTCGAATTAAGTTTTATGTGTGAGTCACGAAAGTAAGGGTCCAGCATCATTCTTTTCCGTGTGGGTAATCCAGTTGTCCCAGCACCTTTTTCACCTTTGAATGGTTTTGACAGCTCTGATGAAAAATCCTTTGCTTGCTTGCTGATTGATTGATTGATTGATTGGCTCTTCATTTCTATCCCATCGATCTGTGTGTCTTCACACTAGCACCACATGGCTTTGTTGCTCTAGTTGTGGTGTTCTGTTTTAGGATTCTTTCAGCGTTGTTTGTCCTTCTCACTGTACGAGTCTTGAGTCTTCTGCTTCCTTCATTAAGTGGATGCTCAAGGACTTTACTCTTATTGATGCTATTGTAAATGGAATTGTTTTCTTACTTTTTCATATTGTTTATAAGTGTATGGGAGCAAAACTGATTTTCGTGTCTCAGTTTTGTATCTTGCAACTTTGCTGTATTTGCTGATTAGTTCTAAATTATTTTGTGTGGACTCCGGGGCTTTCCATGTACAGGATCACGTCATCTACACAGAGATAATTGTGCTTCTGAGTGAGCATTTTTTAAGAAGTAAGATATTGCACTTAATACTTTTTGTAAGACTCAAATTATTTAATATAACTAAATGTTAAGGGTTTGATTTGATATTAAATTTCTCGAAACTCAGGAAAGAAAGCATTGGATGAGTTTTTAACATTCTCAGAGAATCTCTTGGATGTAGAACATTTAACTTCACATAAAATTAAATCTTTAGTTAATGTGTTTTTGTAATTTGAAAATTGTGTTTCACAGCTACTTGAATGCCCAGAATTGGCACATATGTTCCGTACTAGTAATGACAATACTAGCGTTACTGTGGTCTGACTCTTTGCCAGATAGCATGCTAAATTTGTTGCATATATTTATCAGTTAATCCTCACAAAGGACAAATGAGTTTGACAGTTTAATTATCTCCTTAATAATCATAATTCTTGGTTCATTATCTATTCTTCTCATTAGTGTATTCTTGAGCCTTTTATGGATGTGCATGTGTGTGCATGTGTGTTTATTTCTAACACTTTTTAACAAGCATTTTAGAAATCAGAAACCAAAGAAATTGGCCCTGGACACCCAGTTGTAAGTGGTGGAACCAGGAATAAAACCAAGGTCACTTGACTTTAAAGCTTGTGCTCTTCACTACTATAATTGCAGAAAAGCTTCACTGATCATCCTAGATAAAAGAATTTGCCTTTCTCTTCTCTTACTCCACTTTATTTTTCTTCTTAGTATCATCAGTTAACATATGTATTTTTTTAATTTGTTGTCTCTCTCTTTTGGTCTTTGTCAGTTGTTCATCTAGAATAGTTCCAAGCATATAGTAGGTGCTTAGTAAATATCAGTTGATATTTGAATGAGTGTAATCTGGTGCATGATGTATACAGTCAGCCCGTACATCATTACAAAATGGGAGATTTAGTAAGTTTCCTCTCTTTACACTATTACTTCTATAATAGTGTATCTGTATTAGCAGAATCATTAGTGTGCTTGTTGCTAAGATACTGAAGTTGAATTAATGAAATAATGTAATGTAGTTCTTTTATGCTTCGGAAAATTCCATTGGTCAACTATTTTATAAACCTGTTCTTACAAGGAAAATGCTTTTTATTTTAAAATCAGCCTTTTTTAATACTTGAAATCTTATCTGTTTTTTAGACTATTATCTCAGTGTATGGAGTATTTTGATCTAAGATGCCAATTATTAGATGATCTGACAAGTAAGTAAATGTCTAACTTTGATTCGTGTGGGGGGAGGGGAAAGGGAAAAGTAGAAAAGAAAGCCAAATGGACATTTCTAAATCTGATTTAATGTATCTTTGATATAAATGAGATTATAATTACTGTTTGAAATGGAATTTTATTTTCTTGAAAATTGCACATAAACCCATATACCAGTTCTCTCTTCTCCTAGCATATACCCAGCCATTAATGTGTTGAGAAGATTTGTTGATTTTAAAAATTGTCAAAGGCACATTTTAATACACTGATACAGAACTATTAGGAAGAATCTTTCTAGTATAGTGAATTCTGACCATTTTAAAGGTCAGTCATTGAAGGAAAGAGGGAATCACTGTTGTGTTATGTTGATAATAATAGAAGTCAGTTAATTATTTAGTGTTAGGTGATTGAAATATTGTTAGAAATTTTAGTGTTAGAGCATTTAGATTGTGATCATCTGTACTTATATATAATGCAAAGATATGTTGGGATACTCTGTAAATTTTAGTTGTTCACATCAAGAGCTTGTTAGTTTATTCCCCACTCTCTACGTAAAAAGATTCGCTTCAGCTTCCAGGAAATATCCATGAAGTAAATAAAAATCAGGATGGACAAAGTATTCATTGGAAATATTAATTGGAAAAGAATGTCAAGGCCAGGAGTTTAAACGGAAATACCTTGCCTGTATGTGGGCTGTAAAGCTCCACACAGTCAGAATTTGGTCGGGAGGTTGCTGGCAGACAGGTAAACAGGAAACAGCATATATTGGCTGTTTCCAGTACCTTAGAAGAAAACTGATTTCTCAAAAGAAACAGATCTTTTTGCGTGCACATTTTTCAGCCAGGCTTCTGGTGAAAGCTGGGCAGTAGCCCGCAAGGTTTGTTCTCTGGCTTGGACTTGGAGAGGGCACTCTGCTTTGCTTCTCGAGGACTGGAACCGTGAGTTGGCTGTACACATACAACTTCAGAAGTCATGAACGAGCTTTTCATGTAGGCCTTCCCTATGTCACTGTTAACGAGGGATCCAGGGTCCCTTGTTCGGATGTTGAGCCGCAGGGTGGGAATGTCTTGAGACAAGCGGTGTTTGCCATTTGGAGAGTATTCTGTCTGTGCCAGTACCTATGCTAGGCTTCACACCCCGCACCCTGCAGTGTAGGTGTTAGCCGATGACCCACAGTGAGTAAGTGGACTCGTGTCCGGTGCTGGTCCCACTCCGACTGACCCTGAAGTGTCCCTGTTCACCTCGTCCTGTGGGACCTTAGTGCTCATGGCTGTAGTGCCATGGAAGGAGAGCACAGTCACTCTTCCTCTCCTCCCCAGTGCCATCTTCCCGGACGGAATCTTGCTTTACTCCTTGTTTAGAGGAAAGTGAGAGAACTTACTACAGCAGAGCAGAGTGGTTCTCCGGGGTTTGGCACACTGTCTGGAAACACTGTGCTGTGAACCTCCTTCTCGTTTGCAGGACTCCCTTGGCCTAGGTGACACTGCGGGAGCCTTGGCTCTCCTCGTACCTTCGTCCTTGCCTCCTCCAGGGACACCTGCTGATACCACCCCCCCCCCCCCCCCCCCCCCCCCCCCCCCGACCAGGAGCTTCTTCAGAACAAGATTGTCCCCTCCCCGACCTGCACAGAGGGGCCCTCACTATATGTTTGGTTTAGGACAGAGAGAGAGTGGGGAAGAAGTGAGTGCGCATGCGCTGTCACAGTCCTTGGGGCAGCAGCTCAGGCCCACTTTTTGTTAATGACCACTTTTCTCAGATCGGCGAAACGGAAAGTTGGGACTGGACTTTGCCTACTGTAATTCAGGATTTGGACTCCATGGAAGGAAATCCTTCATTCTTCGAAATGGATTTCTTTTTTCCTTCTTAGCTTCAGAAATGGAGCAGTTAAGAATTAGCCCAGCAACTATGCTCGAAGATGAGATTACTTGGCTGGATAACTTTGAACCTAATCGCACCGCTGAATGTGAGACCAGTGAAGCAGACAACATCTTATTGGCAGGACACTTACGGCTCATTAAGACCCTTCTTTCACTCTGCGGGGCAGAAAAGGAAATGCTTGGTAATTATTGCTTCATCTTATCACATGATAGAATACCTCACTTCTTAGTTATTGCCACAGTATTGTGTGTAATTAGGAAAATAGGATAGTTGCTCAGTGTTCCATAGAAAATTGACCCTTCAGGTAATATGAGATTTATCTGGAATTTTAGTGGCTGACAAACTTAAGGTTTGTTTTACCTGCATCATTAAACCATGTAGACTGTTTTATAGCATTCAAAATGGATCATGTAACTTCTTAACATCAAGTAAAAATTCCAAGTAGTGTTTTCTCCTTTTGCTATTTTGTACTATATGAAATATTATCTCTTGTATGTCTCACTTCTTTTAAGGGTAATTCTCATCTGGGAGGCAGCCCCCAACCACCATCCCCTGCATAGTGGGGTACATATGAGTGTCCTGGGGTACACACAGAATTTGTAAGGGCATATTCAGTATTATAAATTATATTCAGAAAACAAATCAAAACATTAATTACCACCTTTATCACACAAACTAAGCTCTATAAAAATCTTCTTGGCTACTGGGGATACATAGAAAAGAGTGATTCTAAACCAGGGTGAAAGGGGCACATCATTTTACCCAAAGAAGGCAAGATTTTAGAAGTTTCAGAAACTCTTCTGTGCCCCCCTCCCCCCACCGACCACCACACCCAGAGTAAGAAGTAATTGTTCACTCAGACCGTTCTGCCTTGTGATGTTCTTGGCATTTGTGTTCCTAAAGTGAAAGCATGGCTTCTTTCACTCTGCTGTCAGCTCATAGAGGAAGGTACCCTTGCTTGTCTCTCTTCGTTCCCTGTCCCCTGACCCTCCCACCCACCCCCACCCCTCTGCCCCACAGAGCTTTGCCGTGTGTTACATAAGCGCTCACAAAATAAGCATCAAATTAAATTGAATGCCCTGCCATCGGGTGGCCTTGGGTGCTTCTGCTCTGATATGAACGTACAAAAACAGGATCTTTGAATTAAAATGTGTTCCTCCTCAACCTGAATATTATGCTCTATTCCAGGTTCATCACTCATTAAACCATTGTTAGATGACTTCCTTTTCCGAGCTTCTAGAATTATTTTAAATAGTCATTCTCCAGCTGGCAGTGCCGCCATCAGTCAACAGGACTTTCATCCAAAGTATGGAAAATGCACGTTGTGTTCAGTTTTGGTAAAAATTCTAATTCGAAACTTTAGTCCAGAAAGATTTTCTTAACTTGGAGTTTGTCGTCCATCTCGTGAGTGTATGTAGTTATATTATCCACTATATAAAGAAATGCATGTAAAGGGGCTTAGGATAAAGCCTGCCTGGCACATAGTAAGTGCTGCGCAAGTATGTTGGAATCATTCTTATCATCAAATTGGAAGAATAAGTAATAAATTATGTGGTTAACTTGGTAGCAAATTCCAAGAGAAACTGAGGTTGTAAGGATTACATCCAAGGTAAAAGTAAATAGGCTCAGAATCTCGAGAGTTTCTTCTAGGAGGAAAGGGTAGGTGCTTCAGTGCATGAACTGTGTGATTTGCTGTATATCACCCGTGTCCTGATAATTAAAACTGCTGGTTACTTATTATGGTGGTAATTTTGGAATCAAATATCGTATTCATTTTTATGGGTAGAAACTTGAAAGATCTTTTTGTAATGTTGACCCTACTTGGGTGCTCCTGGAGATAGGAAGCGGCTGCTTCATGCTGCCACCTTTACTTGCTCTGAATCCACCTTACTTTGTTCTTAGGAAAACCAGAGTTAATTGGAATAATCCCGAAGGAACTGGGGATTTGGTATTTAACCAGTGAAAAACATTCCCATATAATTTTAGTGGTTATTGGAATGGGCAAGGCATAATAAGCAATATTTTATGGAATCTTAAGCTATATCTTACCATGTGTGAGTATTTCTCTGTGTAGAGCTTTCTTATTAGCAAAATCTGTTTCAGGTAATAAACCTTCATTAGAACTCTTGGGGTGTCTCTCAGGCTGTGACTCCCATCCTCACCCCTGCTCCCGTCTTGTTCTGGAAGATCTGATGCTAGCTCAATGGGAATCTTTTATTAAAGCAGTAGAAATACAGGAGTATTTCAGTTTTCAGTGAATGGAGAAAATAAATCATCAGTAGTTTCTTTTTTTTTTTTAATGTTTCTTTGGTTTTTTATTCTTTTTTTTAATTTAAATTCAATTAATTAACATATAGAGTATTATTAGTTTCAGAGGTAGAGTTCAGTGGTTCTTCAGTAGTTTTATTGAAATTTTTATTCATGAATCCTTTTCCTTTTATTTATTTAAAGTAATACCTCCATCAGCAAGGAGTTGGGTTTTTTAAATCATACACAGTGCCTTAATTAGAAAAGGCGGCATTTTGTTTTTGAGTGATGTTCATTTATCACAGTGGCTCCCAGCCCTTTCCTACCTAAACCCTAAAGCCAGAAAGAGATTTACAATATACAGAAGTGTTTTCACAAGTAATGCTTATTCTTATTAACACTAACGAAAGAACTTCTTCATGTTTAGCCTGTGTGTATGGTACCTCCTATTCCTTCTTTACCTGTCCTTTGCAATCCAGAAGTCCAAATAAGAGCAAAGGTCAGTGCCATCTCCTGGCCATTGTCCTCAGGGCGTGGCGCAGTGCTGCTCTAAGAGCCAGCCCCACAGCCCCATTCCCACCCCACGAGCGCATCCCCCACACTGCACTCCATACGTGTTTCTCTCAGAGTTGGATGTCCTCTTTTCTGTGTATCCTTCCCAACCTGTGATCTTCTCGCTAATGCAAGGCTGGTACAGGTGGCAGTGAGAAATTACTGTCCATCCCCAAAATGATTTCTGCTAAAGGTGAGCAATATCAGAAGCCTTTAGTTTCCTGCAGAATGCTTGCTAGTTACCTTTTATCGTCATTTTAAACTAATTACTTTAGCATACCACATATTTCTGTCTCCGTTTTCTTAGCAAAATGAAGCTGATTCCTGTCCGTGAAGAGTTTTTTATCTCCAGGCACATATAAAACACTTATGGGCATTTATTCTGATTGGTATAGCTTTCTTTTTCTGCCATTTAGATATTTGAATTTCAGGGTGAGACCTACAAAAATCTTTCTTGCTACCTACTTTGAGAGCTAGTTATTCTCAGGTTGTCTTTGGTAAAATTTTCAGACTCTTTGTCCTCCATTTTTGCTGATCCAAATCTTAGATAAAAATACACTACAGTCCTACGTAAGAGATTTTGATACTTTATCAGGCCAAGAAGATATTTAGCTCTCAACCGTAATCATCCTTCGTGTATTCATGGCCTCTTCAAGTAAACACTTCCCCCAGGATTCCTAGAGCTCTGCCATCAGACCTGATTAACCTTGTTTGAGGAACTGCAGCTCCTCCTATATTTTCATTTCAAATGTTGATTTAGTTTAATGAGCAATTTAAGTAGATTATTCACTGTTGGAATTGACTTGCATCTTTTTTTTTTTAGGTGTAGTACAGTGAATAGCCGATTGGCAGCCTATGAAGTCCTAGTGATGTTGGCTGATAGCTCACCTTCAAATCTGCAAATTATCACGAAAGAACTGCTTTCTATGCATCATCAACCCGACCCTGCTCTTACCAAGGAGTTTGATGTAAGTTTTCTAGACCTTTACGTACGTAATTTTTTTCGAATGATCAGATGAATATACAGTTTTAAAACCTTTGTTTGCATTATCCTAATCACAAAGAAAGTCAGTATTATTTGTTTGCTTATTGTGTTCACATACTGTAATCACCTATAAACTACAAAGTTACTTTATTACCATTTTAATAGTATATTACTCAGTGATACCCTTTTTATTAATTAAAGAGGAGACATGTTCAAGTCAGTTGATAACCACTCTCAGTAAGAAGTAGCATTTCAGCCCATGTGTTGAATAGCTGTGGGTGGCACAGCACCGGGCACTGGAGATACTGACTCAGACGCTGGCTCTGTCACAGAACGGTCTACATTCAGTTACATTCAGCTAAGATTTATTGAGTTTACTAGGCACTAATAGGCTTTGGAACTCACAGATGAATATAGGATTCCAGCCCTCAAGAAAGGCAGTGTATAACGGAGGAGACAGACCCATAGGCAGACAATTTCAATATAATGTGATAACGTATAAGATACAGGTCATGTCCTGAATGCTCAACCAACAGAGGGGCACTTCACCACCAGATGGTATCTTATAAGGCATCTTAGAAAAGATGGAATTGAAAATAGAGCTCGGAGCACCTGGGTGGCTCATTCGGTTAATTAAGCGCTCGACTCTTGATTTTGACTCTTAATTTTGGCTCAGATTTTGATTCTAAGGTCATGAGATCGAGCCCCACCTTCAGGCTCCCTTCTCAGCAAGGAGTCTGTTTCTCTCCCCACCCCCGTCTCTCCCCCTCCCTCTCCCGCTCATGCTTGTCTCTCTTAAATAAATAAATAAATAAATGAGAACTCTAATGTCTCACAAGCCAACTGAAGCAAGATGGGAAGGTCATTCCAGCAATGAGGATATGGAACAAGGCTCTGGAGCCATGCAACCATGTAGTATTCACTGAGCTCTGCAGGAGGGAAGCACGTTGCAGGTGCACTGGAGTACCAGGCCAGGAGTGGGAGGACGCTTTTAGAGCTGCCATCACATTCTCCACGAGCATCGCAGAGTCAGGCTCATCCCTTTGGACACCTGAGCTGAGTACTATATAGCATACGGGTTAGGCAGGAAAGGAAGGGGGTGCCAGATAGAGAAAATAGCACTTGCAAAATGAAATATGAGTGTGTAAATTGGAAACTGTTTTGGTATCAAAATGTTTAGTTTATAACATATGCTTTAGTTTTACATTTTTTATTTAATATATATATTTTTTTTAATTTTATTTATTTGAGAGAGAGAGAGAGCATGAGTGGGGGAAGGGCCAGAGGGAGAACAGACTCCTCGCTGAGCAGGGAGCCCAATGCAGGACTGCATCCTGAGACTCCAGGATCATGACCTGAGCCGAAGGCAGTTGCTTAACCAACTGAGCCACTCAGGCACCGTATTTAATAGATTTAAGTGGAAATTTTATTTTTTTTCATAAGTCAGGGATTGTATCAGCATAATGAAAAAACAATTTGCCTCATATAAATACTTATTTTTTAGCACTACTATGAACTAGTTTTTCTTATTTCATAACTTTTTAAAAATCTGTGCTTTGGGCTACAAATAAATTACAGTGTTGATTAGATCTTAGAAATCACCGTGCTCTACATGTATGTCAAATGTTAGTGGAAAGTATGTCATATTTAGCAATTCTTTGAGGTGCAAAAGATCTATAAGCTTTCGTCAGTTGGTTTTTCAGTGGATGCAGGTACTTGATAGATGCAGATTAGGTGATTCTGGGCATGGCTTTAGAACCAAGATTCTGCTGAAATAGCATTTCAGTGGATGCAGGTACTTGATATATGCAGATTAGGTGATTCTGGGCATGGCCTTAGAACCAAGATTCTGCTGAAATTTCAGAGTGTGTCCTTTCAATATCCTTTTCCACTTGGAGAAGTGTCATGTTAAACTTTATCCAAGATGCCTTTTCTAGATTACTTCTAACCAGAAAAGCATTGTAACAGGATCTGTGTTAGTACAAAACATCTTTAAATGGGGTGCCTGGGTGTCTCAGTTGGTTAAGCGACTGCCTTCGGCTCAGGTCATGATCCTGGAGTCCCAGGATCGAGTCCCGCATTGGGCTCCCTGCTCAGCAGGGAGTCTGCTTCTCCCCCTGATCCTCCCCCCTCTCATGCTCTCTGTCTCTTCATTCTCTCTCTCTCAAATAAATAAATAAATAAATAAATAAAATCTTTTTTTTAAGATTTATTTATTTACTATTTACTAAATAAATGTCTTAAAAAATATCTTAAAAAAAATCTTTAAGTGCAAGGCAGAGTAATTATTTATTTAATTGTATGCTTATTAGAAGTTATTCGATAGAGGAATGTTACTTTCTTAAAAAGGAAGGGAAGGAATATGGACCTTCTTGACCATCCGGACTGGTCAGGATTCTTCATAGTAAATACTTCATAGAACTCTATTCCTTTCTTGCAGAGTACTACTTCAGTTTGTAAGTAGATATATTTACTTGATTGATGTCTGTGTAGTCTACTAGATGGTGAGCTCCTTAGGATGAGGGACCACATATATCTCTTGTATCCCTGGCACAGTGCCTGGCACATAGTAGCTTCTTTGTAAATATTTGTTGAATGATAATCAAGTGACGGAATGCATCACTACCAGTGGATAAACAAACACAATATGTTAGGTACTTTATGAATGGAAAAGGAACATTGAGATAGTAGTATTTTTTGTTTGTATTAGCATCTGCAGAGGGACTTCAAGAACGTAGATTTTGTTAGCCTGACTCCTAACCCACTGGATGGATAAATCTGTGAGTTTCTCTCTTTTTCTTCTCAGACATCTCAGACAGCCATGGTGGAAATGTGCTGGTGGCAGATACACTAATTCTCTCTCCACTGTTTCTCTCCTCTCTTTTCCTAGTACCTTCCACCTGTGGATAGCAGGTCCAGTTCAGGGTTTGTGGGGCTGAGGAATGGCGGCGCTACATGTTACATGAATGCAGTCTTCCAGCAGCTGTATATGCAACCTGGGCTCCCTGAGGTGATTTCCTTCTTCTTTCCTGTTTGGTATGAGAGAGAATGTGTACCCGGCCTGAAAATTGTCCCAGATTCATATATTGCATTTAGGTTTTACTAAAACTAGACATAATTAGGGATTTTTTAGTAGCTTCTGAAATATGTGAGACAGCATATTCATGGTCATGTTTTTATAAATCTGAAGGAATATACTGCCTCTTTGACAGAGAGACTTGACTAAGTGGGATTTTTGAACGAAGCTACTCTCAAATTCTATTCCATAAAATTACTAATGTTTTTAGTATTTTAGAAAAATTTCAGGTCTTTCATCGGTGCTTTATAATAGTTCAGTCTACCCTTGAACAGCACAGGAGTTAGGAGCGCTTACCCCCAGCTCCCCCAGGGCGATCAAAAATTTGCATGTAACTTTTGACTCCCCCAAAACTTAACTACTGACAGCCTACCTTTGACTGGACAATTAACTCATATTTTGTGTGTTATATGTATTATATACTCTACTCTTATGATAAAGTAAGCTAGAAAAAAGAAAATACGTTTACAGTACTGTTCTGTATCCAAAAAAAATCCATGTGTAAGTGGACCTGTGTGGTTCAAACCCATGTTCAAGGGTCAGCCTATTAACTAGAAGCTTGTGATATAGCAGTCAGTGGTTTTGAGAATATTGTGTGTGTATCATGCCACATTTATCTGTCATAGAGATACTGCTATGGCTGGCTCCAGTTTTTATAATCAGAGCCTCAAAGAAATGACTTGTTCGTGATTCCACCAGCTAGGAAGAACTGAAGCTAAACATCTGCTCAGAGCTGTAGCCACATCCTCACGTACATAGCATTGTAAAAGCAATGTAGGCAGTACACATATGTCTGTCCGCGTCCCCTGTGCAGCAGTGAACTCTTTTCAGCTCACGACATATCGTTTCTGTTTAGTCGTTACTTTCAGTGGATGATGACACGGACAATCCAGATGACAGTGTGTTCTACCAGGTGCAGTCTCTCTTTGGGCATCTGATGGAAAGCAAGCTGCAGTATTATGTACCTGAGAACTTCTGGAAGGTATTTCACCCAGTAACTCTTTAGATTTCAAGATGTTAAATGCTTGGATGTAGTGGTAATTGTTTCTGTCTTTATTGACTCTGGACTAATCCCATTGCAAAGAACCTACAGAAGAATGGGCTATACCATTCTTAAGATGGATGTTTGATTTCAAATGATCAGAATATTGAGAATAGTCATGTATTAATTTCTAGGGATCGGCTGATCTTAATGATTTTGAGTATTTCTCATTCTTATTTTGGCTCTTCGGAATATGTGTTCAAATTATTCCAATTCCACTAATGCTCTAAATAAAGAACATTACTCTTTTTCATAGAAGGGCTATCTTGTATTTTCCCCCATAGTTTGGTTAGTTCTAGGACAGAAACTGTTCCGTGGCCTCAGACCCCACCCTGTATAGTCTCACAGACCTGTGATGATTACACAACCACAGGGGGGCCGGGAACAAGCCTAGATAGCTGAACACAGGCTCATCTCACTTCAGTAAAAATGTCTGCTGTCCTAATAGAACTTGGTTTTAGAAGCATTTAAGTGCTCTTTCACATTTGTGTTCTTACTGTATTTAGAAATTGCGAACTTTTCCTTTAACAATATATTTAATTCTTGTTGCATAGATTTTCAAGATGTGGAACAAAGAACTTTACGTGAGAGAACAGCAGGATGCATATGAATTCTTCACTAGTCTTATTGATCAGATGGACGAATATCTCAAGGTAGGAAAAAAGTCACTTTCCCTCTGACTCCCTCAAACTCTGTAATACGAGAGCAGTGTGGTAGGATTGGGATTACTATGAAACCGACCAATCAGAATCTGGTCATCTTTTGGGTTTCCTTTTTTTTAATTTTAAGGTCAATTAATTAACAGTATAGTGTATTATTAGTTTTAGAGTTCAGTGATTCATCAGTTGCATACAACACCCGTGCTCATTCCATCACGTGCCCTCCTTCATGCCCACCGCCCAGTCACCCCATCCCCCCCCACCTCCCCTCCAGCGAGCCTGTTTCTTTCCTATGCTTAAGAAGTCTCTTATGGTTTGTCTCCCTCTCTGGTTTCATCTTGTTTTATTCCTCCCAGGTTTTTGGTTTTTTTTTTAACTAACCAGAATCATGCTGTATGTATTGTTCATGTGGTTTTTGGAGATGTTCTCAGCCTAGCACACTCCTTTTATCCATTCTGTATTCCACAGAAATAGATGTTTGGGTTGCTTCATTCTGCTGTTATAGTTATTCCCACTTTTGTGCACAAACTTGGGCACAGGGGCTGAAATTTGAGGGGAACAGTGTCAATTTGAGCCCTTGGCAATCTGAGGTGAAGGCGTGTTGACTTGGCATTTAGCAGGTGGCAGGCCGTGCACGCTGACTCGGGCAGGAGGGCGGCTGGACCGTGAATTTGGGAGCCACAGGCCGATGGCATCGTGTGTGACAGGGACGTGGCTGGTTTTGCTTTTAATTTTTGTTTTTCTGGGAAACTTGATCTCCCTCTATTCTAAATGAAAGCCTTGCTGGATAGAGTATTCTTGGCTGTAGGTTTTTTCCTTTTAGCAGTTGGAATCTATCATGCCACTTTCTTCTGGCCTGCAGAGTTTCTGCTGAAAAACCCACTGATAGCCGTATGGGGTTTCCTTTGTATGTACCTGCTTTCCTTTCTCTTGGTGCTTTTAAAATTTTCTCTTTCTCACTACTTTTGGCCGTCTTATTTACTTTGTGTCTTGGTGCAGACCTCTTTGGGTTGGTTTTGTTGGGGGCTCTCTGTGCCCCTGGATCTGGATTTCTCTTTCCTTCTCCAGATTCAGGAAGTTTTCAGCTGTTATTTCTTCAGACAAATCTTCTGCCCCCTTTCCTCGCTCTTCTCCTTCTGGGATCCCTATCATGCCACTGTTAGGCCTGACAGCGTTGCTCAGTTCCCTGGGTCTGTTTTCATTTTGCGTATTTTTCCCCCCTCTCATCTGCTCGGCTTGATTGCTTTCCATGACTCTGTCCTCCAGGTGGCTGGTCCTTTCTTATGCTTCCTCTTGCTTGCTATTTATTCCAGATGGTCTATTTTTATTTCCATTTAGTAAATCCAATAGCTCTAACTGGTTCTTTTTTACGTCTCCTAGCTCTTGGTGGAGGGTCTCAAGGAAGTCCTGCAGTCCTTCCTCAATTCCAGGGAGAATCTTTATGAGCGTTACTTTAAATTCACTATCAGACATATTACTTATCTCCGTTTCACTTAGGTCTCCTGCTCTGATTTTGTCCTGTTCCTTGATTTGGGACACATTCCTCTGTCTCTTGCATTGTCTGTTTTTCTGTGTTAGGAAAGTCAGCTACATCTCCTGCACTTGAAAGTAGTGGCTCTATGAAGAAGAGGTCCTGCAGTGCAATGTCTGTTCCCCAGAACCTGGTGCTTCAGGGGTGTCTCCTATGCGTGTTGCTCCAGGGGCTTCCTACCATTGTGGCTAGGATGTGTTTGCCTTCAGTCCTGTTGTCTGCAGTGGCTCCCTGCCTGTTGTGGGCAGAGTCTGATGCCAGTGGTGTTAGTGGGCTGCTCCGGGGCTGCCTCGGGCTTGAGTCAAGTCAGACCAGGTGTTTGCCAGAGATGCAGTAGCACCAGACTGCAGGCACTGTCCTGTGTTGTCCCCAGAGAAGCTTTTGTTGGTGAGTGGGGCCTGCAGTCAGACCAGCTGCCTGCCCTCAGCCCACTGCTGGGGTCACAGTCAGACGGGGGTGTGGTTATTGTCCCCTCTCCCTGGGGCAGGACTCACTCCGGAGCGGTGCTGACCTTGTCTGGGCTGCGCACACACTGCCAGGCTTGTGGCACCGCTTTGAAGGGATCTTGCCAAGAGCAATCAGAGGGGGTGGATCTGCTTCGCTGTGGCCTCTTGTCTATGCCGGGCTGTGGAGAGTCTGTTCTGCCAGTTTTCGGGCTGCTTTTTGGGTTATTTATGCCGACGTGGGTGCTTCTAGGCGGCCACGTGGCAAGAGGTGAGCCCAGGGACCTCCTACTGCGCCACCTTCCCCGCAGCCTCTGAGAATCTGGTCATCTTTAATACCACACCTGTAATTCATTTCTTCTGGTGGCATTTGAACATCAAAACAGACACAGACACTAGGCTTCTCCTTTTCTTTATTCATTCAACACTTGTTGAAGTATGGAGCTCTTAACCTGTACTCCAGAGTAACCACTGTGGGCACACCGAGGTAGTCTGGCCTCGGGCGTGCTGCCCTCTCCAGGGACCCGACGGCCTGTGCTTGGCAGTCTGCCTCTGCCACAGGGCCAGATCACAAAGTTGTGGGGATGTGTGAGCCCAAAGCTTCCTGCCCCCACCTAGCATGACGTGTGACAGTCTTCCTAAATGGCACTGCCTCCTAGTTACAGGGCACCTCCCTTCACTGAAGTATCTGCCCCTCATCTCCTCAGGACCCCCAAGTTAGTCATTTCCTTTTTCAGATCGCTTAGGAATGTGTAGCATTTTATCCACAAGAAAAAAGAAAAGATTGTGGAGAGTTGCTCCTAACATGGTGGTCATTGCGGGCACAGGGGAAGGATTCAGAGTCGTCACTGAGAGTGTTGTTCTTGTCACCAGCTGCGGCTGGCCCCTCTCCTCTTCCTTTGCCGACAGCTCAGGCTGTTCTAACAGTGGGGCCAGTGGGTTCTAGTCGTCCCATTTGATCCCAGCTTAAACTACCACCATGACTCCCTGTAGTTTAGCTGTTAAGTTGAAATCTGCGCTTTAGCTTAGGTCTAAATAAAATTCTATATAAGGACCTGTAAATTCTAGGGGCATCAACTAAAATTCCGACCCTTTATTCCAACAGAAAATGGGGAGAGACCAGATTTTTAAGAATACTTTCCAGGGCATCTACTCTGATCAGAAGATCTGTAAAGACTGTCCTCACAGGTTAGTGAAAATACCACGGACATCAAAACTGATCATCTTCATTTTTGTTTTTTTTCCTCTTAATTGGTAATACTTTGTTTGTTAATTTTCATCCATATGTTACTTTACTAAAGTGACAGGATATAAAAATCTTAGCTATTCTTTTTTTTATAGTATTTTTATTCCTTAAGCTACTGTAACAATTTATTGATATATTTGAGTTTAGCCAAGTTCTAGAATATTCAGATTCATGAGCATCACCATGCTTAGTATTACATAAATCATATGCAAGCAGAAGCTTTCCCACTCATGTATTTAAGGCAGAGCTTTAAGAGCAGTGTAAGTGTCATCCATAAATACATGGATTTCCATAAGAATTCATAAATCCTCAAACAGAAAAGTATGTATTCTCCAGGTTATCCTGATACAGATACCAAACTTGGAAGAAATATTTTTGCAGTAGAAAGAAGCTTCAGGATTAAGGTGAAAACATGGAAATTGCCAATTGGCCACAGTAGTACCGCACATGATCATCATCCTTTTTAAATGATGCTTCTAGTATGTCATAAATTTTGCATTCTTGAGAGATTTGCATATCTGTCTCTCAGTGGACCTATAAATGTTTATTGAATAAGTTTATCTGGTTTCCATTTCTAAAATTTCTTTGCTGAAATTCATAATTTTAAGGAATTTCTAATTACCAAAAACTGGTATTTTTATTTGGCAGTGTACCTTTAAAAGGCTGAGGGACGGCATGGGTTAATTTCACTGATTATGAATGTAGTTCTCTGGTATTGTGGTAGTTTCAAGACCTTTAAATTCCACTGTTTGATTATGTTTTTCCTGTGATTTCCTAATCAGATATGAGCGTGAGGAAGCTTTCATGGCTCTCAATCTTGGAGTTACTTCTTGTCAGAGCTTGGAAATTTCTTTGGACCAGTTTGTTAGAGGAGAAGTTCTAGAGGGAAGTAATGCATATTACTGTGAAAAGTGTAAAGAAAAGGTATTACATTTGCCTTTTTTAGAAAACAAGATTAATTTGTTATTCGTCTGTGTTTTATGTAAGGGCAATGTTGAGTTCCTATTCTTGTCCCATTAAATTGTGTCGTTACCTGTTTTTACATGGGCAGGAGAGGCCCATGGAAATCTCTGACCTTTGTATGATTTTGCTGTTTTATTTCCGCCATGGAGATAATTGGGTTTTGCTTTTCTTTAGAGAATAACCGTGAAAAGGACCTGCATTAAGTCTTTACCTAGCGTTTTGGTAATTCACCTAATGAGATTTGGATTTGACTGGGAGAGTGGACGCTCCATTAAATACGATGAACAGATAAGGGTAACTTGTTTTTTTTCCCCCTGAAATATCTTACAACCATGACCTCACTTTCTTTTCTCCTGTTTACTTTTTACATGTCTAACTTCCGTCTCTGCCGTGAAAGGCTGTGGTCTGCATTCAGAGGCGTACACAGCCCTTTGTCTTAAGCAGCTGCTGCCAGTAGACAGGCAGATCAGTGAACAGCCCCCCATCTAGAAGTCATCCTGGCGATAGTGAGGAGGCGGGCCTAGCTAGAATTAGGAAAACATCCCTCTTATTTGAATCTTACTTACTTAATGGGGTATCACTGTCTGTGTTACTCATCAACACTAATGTGGTCTTCTTGCTTTTAAATAGTTTCCCTGGATGCTAAACATGGAGCCTTACACAGTTTCAGGAATGGCTCGCCAAGATTCATCTTCAGAAGTTGGTGAAAACGGGCGAAGTATGGACCAGGGAGGTGGAGGATCCCCACGGAAAAAAGTTGCCCTCACTGAAAACTATGAACTTGTCGGTGTCATTGTCCACAGTGGACAGGCACACGCGGGTCACTACTATTCCTTCATTAAGGACAGGCGGTAAGACGTTCTCACGCCACTCCCGCCCCTGCCTTCCAGTAGTCCTGCCTCCGCTCCCCCTGCCCTCCTCTGTCCCTCCGCCACGCCCCC